AAGCCAACATTCTAAACAATTGCTTTTGCGCTATTACTAATGTAGATGATACAAATATTGAAACACCAGTTATTGAAGATAAAACAGACAAAGTATTGAATTATATCAGTGTAAAATCTGAGGAGATTACATATATCTTACAAATTTTGAAATAAGGCAAGGCCTCTGGACACGACGGAATTAGTCACCAAATGCTAAAGTTTACATCTCAAACGGTTTCCAAACCGCTTGAAATACTTTTTAACCTTTCTCTATCGTCCGGTGTTTATCCATCTGTTTGGAAACTTGCTACAGTAATGCCACTGTTCAAAAAAGGTGATAAGCACTTTCCTTGTAATTATAGACCAATATCTATATCATCTACTGTTGGAAAAGTTTTTGAAAAGGTTATATATAAACATATTAACAATTACTTCATGTAAAATTATCTGTTTTGCAAGTATCAGTCGGGGTTTTATGCCAAAACATTCTACTGTTTATCAGTTAATTGAGATTTATCATAGTATTTGTTTGGCACTTGAAGAAAAAAAGCATGGTTTAGTATTTTGTGATATTTCTAAGGCTTTTGATCGCGTTTGGCACTAGGGATTAATAATTAAACTAAAATCATATGGTATATCCGGCGAATTGTTAGGCTGGCTAAAAAAATTACCTAACTAATAGACAACAACAAGTAATTATTTTTAATTCATTTTCTGATATTGGCATAATTAAAGCTGGCGTTCCTCAAGGGTCTATTCTTGGGCCTCTTCTTTTTCTAGTTTTTATAAACGATGTTTCTGAGGTCCTTCCCTCAGCTCTTCGTGCTTGTAACGAACTGGACATATCAGTCAGATCATCCCCTACTTTAAGTAGTTTTAAACATTCTATCAAGTCAAACCAATACCAGCTCCCCGTATATTATAATTTTGGAGACAGGAAACTAAATATAATTCACACTAAGGCATAAATGTAGTTCATTGAACCATGATTTATTTCGTGCTCATCTCACATAAAGCCCCAAGTGTGGTTGTGGGCATCCATGTGAGAATGCTTATCACTTCTTTTATAGCTGTGTAAATTATAGTAATCAGCGGCGAATTCTATTTCAAAGCTTAAACACACTGGATACAAACATCGAATTTTAATCTAAATATCCTCCTTTGTGGAGATCAACACTTACCCGTTGACTTTAATGTAGAAATATATAGAAATGTACACATCTTCATCAAAACCAGCATTAGATTTTAATTTAAGTGAATAATTAATGTTCATTTTGAATGAACGAGGAGAGCGACCTTAGGTCAGGACTTGAAATATGTATGTTTTGTGTCTTCTTATTTGCCTTAATTTTTACTTGTTATAATGTGTGGAGAGGGCTTAAATAATGTTGTAATAACTTGTGCCCAATCCGTTTGCTTGTTTGTTGGCAATAAAATATGTTTAAACTTAACTTTAAACTTCAATCTTCATTATTTGCTGAAAAAAGAACCCTATTGCAGCCATGATCTTCGAGGTTACCGAGTTTGTCAACGTCGTCTGTTAGACGACCATCCATCAGTCCACACATATAACCCTTCGCAAACCAATGTCCTTGTGATTGTTTTCACAAATGACTGCTTTTATCAAATACAAACGCATAAGGTAAAATATCGTACTTATTAGGAATTTAGCGATACGTTCATCATTTTATATGAAAAAAGTCAAGTGAAATTTGTGATTATACTTTTTTAAACGATTGTAATTTATGATGATACGAGGATTATTTCTCGGCTGTTCTCGGATTTGAACTCGATGACATCAGTATTTGGTTGAGCGGATAATTTTTGTGCATTTTTTGTTTCCGAACACGTAAACGTTATATGAATGTAAATATAAGCATTTGACTGTTACTAGATGATAGTATACAGACGATATGAATACCATTGACTGTTCTCTACAATCTAATATCAGTCAATTGCTTAAGAAAAGAGGCCAAGGCAAACGGTTGACAAGTACATTATACAGAGTGGTTATCCTTGTAACAATCGCCAAAATCTTCAGATATCGTCATTAAGAAAAATAAAAGGCAAATTAAAAAGTTTATTTTTATTTACTTCGTAGTCATGATATTAATTCCTTTAATAAGAAATTGTACTTGGTACTTAGCGAAAAACACTCACTGAAATGAAGGTGTAATGGATGATATCTTAATGTTAAATTAAATGTAAATGATGCTCAAGATGTCCATTATATATAACTTCGTTCAAACATATATAAATATAACAGTGCAAACACTAATTAATCAACTGTACATCCTAACCGATGAGTACATATGTAACAGTGATTTATATGTATTTGTCATTGGTACACACATTTTCTCAGCTATGTATTCGGATATATAAATGCACAACTATAAACATATACCATGCAGTGTATATTAATTTACCCTGTAACTGTCGCTGCCATTGTGGGAATACATCTGCCACACATAGTTTTACTTTATTCGGCAGTGACGGAAAACAGCTGTATTTTTAGCACGTGCGGTAATTCTACAGAATAACTCTCTGAATGTACTTAAACATGACGATAAGGATTATAAATAGTTGCTGAAATAAACGATTTTGACATGTTGTATTGAACATGCTGGTCTATGAAAATTCATAAAATCGCTGTTATATCCGATGAAGTTTGGAACTATATTTTCGTGCTGAGCAATTACTTTGGCGTCTGTCATCAGGCATAATTCAGTGTAACGTCAACACAGATTGAACTATAAAACTGTTTAATTTTCAATAATCTGATTTTCAATCAATGTTGTAAGATTAATAGAACACATGGTTAATAACTTAAAATACAAGCTGTAATAGTTTGGCTCGGGACAGAAAGACAAAATTGGCCCGCCACTTTTGTCTTTCTTCATCCTCGCCAAAAAAGCTTTTGAATTTTAGACACAGGCCATGTATTCGCTATTTACGTCTGTCAGTTATATCTTACAGATTTATATAAAGCTTTATTATACCATGAAAACATCCTATTTCCTTTAATAGTAAGAAAATGCAGTCTTATTCATGTAATAAACTATAGACTAATTTTGGAAATAGCCCTATTGTTTTTATGTTTAACCTGTTTTCAAGTTTTTTTTTACCAAGTGGTATGTTGATATGTCTCAATTATTATCATCAATTTATTACTGTAAATACATATCATCTCTTTATGAATTTAAGTAGCTTTGAGTATACTATCTCACAGCGATGTATTTTACCATTTCATACAATATATCGCTGTTATATACAAATGTACATTCACATTCGATATCTCTCAGCTATATATATAAATCTTCACAATTAATACATCTAAGTTATATATGAATTTAATAACTTTCAGCTTTATATGAATTTGCCTTCATGTACATATATATATATCTTAACCACTATCAAATAAACATGGTATGAATATATTTCCATTTTTTATAAAACTTACAAATATGCACGCAAAGCTGAAGCATTTATAAACACACCAGTCTCAATACATATATTTCAACTATGTCGATACATTATTGTGTGAAAATTCCCCCAAACACAAATCAATGCTACTTCATACGTTTATTTGTAAAACTTGGGAGATTATGAGTTTATGAGGCCACTAAGTGCATGTGATACGAATAACTGTATAACAATTAACGTTTCAGAATTAAAATTATCGAGTTATGATATGCGTTAAGTATAACGTATCTTATGAGATGATTATAACTCGATTGATGAATTGTGGTATAAGATAAATACCAAAAATTAAACTATCTACTCGAACTCATCCTAGTACTCGCGCTTTTATATATCTTGGATATGTACCCGAACTATGTAGAGTACTCGTAATGATATAAATATATACTGGGATTTATACATGATCTATGTCGAGTACTCTTCCTGATATCTATGGTGGGATATTTACCCGAACTATGTATAGTACTCGTAATGATATATATACATATATACTTGAACCGATTTATGACGAGTACTCATAATGATATAAATATACTTGGATATTTACCCGACTTTTGTCGGGTACTCGTTATGATATGTATATTGGGATGTTTACCCGAATTATGTCTAGTACTTGTACTGATATCTATCTTGAGGTTTTCAACCTGAACTATGTCTTATACTCGTAACTATACTAAGTCTCATGTTCAGAATGTTACTCATACTCAGACTGATACACAACCCCAAATAGGTATTTACACTTAAACAGGTGTATTCACATGAATATTAACACTAAAGGTTCTGTTGAAACTTAAACCTTTCCTCGGAGAGATAACTGTACTCAAACATTATTTCGAGCTATGATCAGTATCCATACTCGAACTGATACAGATACGGAAACCAATACTTCGATTATGTCCATGACCAGAGTGGTATTTGTCTGATAGTTTACCCGTACTTAAGCTTTTTTCTGTGTATTCTATGTGTCTCTCGATTTTTAGAACATAGTATACACGGTACATAAGATAATGATCTATTTACACATTTGAGTTACAAAGAAAATATTACGTAGACTATAATCGTATTACTAAGACTGTCAGTTATCAAATGAAATAAAAGTAGCATTTTTTTTCAAATTTTCTGATATAACTGCTTATTAGATACATAGATTTAATTTCATTCTATGATTTCTAGGATATTTCTTTGATCTCGATTTTGAAAACTGAGATAAGAAATCGAGTGAATAAAATGTTATTTCTCTGTTGATCTCAGTTTCTTTCATTTACGTCAAGAGCACACATCGTATGTTCTGCCTGGTATCAAGTCGACAAGTGTACCGTGAATACGATTAACATAGAAGTTTTGTCTCTCTGAAGCACTAGGCAAATAATGTTGTTACACACATGGAATGGAATTCCTCCTTTATCTCAAGCCCATCAGGGTATCTTCACTAAGTAGTAGGATACACCCTCGTCAATAAGAAGTATTCCTGGCACTGATGGCGTTCTTGAAATAGCCAATATTTTTTCAGGTATTTTAAAACGATTGTTTAAATCGTTATTATAGTGGTGTTTGTGAGTCAGGAACTGTAGGTAAAAACACTGGAACACCACCAGCAGGATTACGGAAAACGCCCAAACTATTTCGAGGACTATTCAATGAACTGCTAAAAAATGGCGAAGGAATTTGCTGATCACGAATAGGAGGACTAACAGTTGTTGCTGACTCAGCGAATGGATTTATAGCGTCAATGTCAACCGTGAATGGACTGAGTCCATTAGGGTCGACGACATCCCTCTGTCTGTCGACGGTAGAATCGGCCGCATTATTAGCTTGTGCATTATTGCTTAGCTTTGAAGGATTAGTCTGTGTTTCGTTTCGTATTCTGGCGCTGATCGCTTTGATTAGATTTGCGTTAAACCGTCTTCGCGATTCTCGCACCATTTTCTTTAGGTCGTTTTGCAACTTCCGTCGTCTCTGCGAATCAGCAATGATGCCATCTATAGAGCCAACATTATTAAAGGGTGCTCTGCCTTCAATAAGAAATAAAACAAAAATAGTTAACAACTACTGATTGTATTAAGCATGACTTGTTGATCATTGATAATGAAATAAAATTACTTTTTATAAATCAGGCTTTTCGGAATTCGAATCGTATACGTAGATAATTATACTAGTTTGATTAAAGTTAAGAAAAAAAAGTAGCAAGATATAAACATCGATTATAGTGTAGAGAGAGGATACATCTATTTCTAATTGTAAATATGTATTAAAGGTACTTGTGTGTACAATCATTGAAAAACGAGTGAAGAGAAAATATATAAATAAATCTACATCAGGACGCAATCAGTTTGTAATTTCTTCAGAACAAAAAAGTATGATTCCTTTATGTAATATCTAATACTAGTTAAAGATTAACAAGTGATTAATAAAATTTTTCACTACGTTAATGATAGTAATAACAGTTAAAATATTATATTTGTGCGTTACATGCGACTAGTTCTATAACGTACAGATTGTACATAATTTTTTAATTCAGGTAAGGATGTGAATGTTGAGTAATACTGAAAATATAAACATGAAAATATTAAAGATTATATCTACAAAATCAGCTAGAAGCAAGTTCATTAACCGTAATGACCATCATTTCGAATCGCATTTAAAGTGAAAATGATGATAACTACAGAAGCCACATTACAATTAACTGATATTAAGCTTTGTAAAGCTTCTAATGTTAGTACCGCCTAACATGAAGCATTCATAAGTGCTATCTTTCGAAAATTTCCTTGGATGATTCTATTGTTATGTTTGTGGTAATTAAAAAAGCAAAAACAAAAGGAGGGGGGGAAGCCAAAAAGGAGGGATGGAAAGCCAAGTTCTAATCCTAGTTTTTGTGGTGCCATAGCCCAATGCCAAAACTACGAATGGCTTATTTGCATAACGAATGCTTATTGTTAAGCGGTATATATTTTTGAAGTCTCACCTTGTTATAGCAGCTCGTGTTAAGTTCCGGGTCGTCAATTTCTGATTACCTCATGCATAACATGGCTGAACAGTGATTACATAGATAGCGGCTCTGAGTACTAATGTTGAATACACATCTGTTATGATTATCTAACATTAATCATACGCATGCGTTGTCTACAGCAGGGACCATGGATACAACTTGGATGATATTCTGATGGCGCCATCCAAATGTTCTCCACTTTTTGATTTTATCAGTTTTACTACTTTTTTGAATTCCACCTCCTTTTCTTTGTGTACAGGAAATAATGTATTTGCTGTTGAATGCAATACTGACTGGTGATAAACAACAAATATGAAGCAGTAACTTTACTTTGGTAACTTTTATCTATAACTTTTATTTATAACAGATATAAAACACGATCATTTATATTCAGATTTATCAACTGAATGTCTTCGCTAACTCGTTACAGTTGAACAGTTACACTGGCATCTTGATCAGTTTTATCTATTGTACAAGCAATGGTACATTTCCTTTCTGCATCTGTCATCGATTAATTGTGGAATTTAACATCAACATCTTTGTTATTTGCATTATAAGAAATAAGCAAAGCAGAGACAGTAAATTATCATTCGGATTAAGTAGGCAGAATGATTTGCAAGCAGCGATGAATAATTTACAGCAAAAACTTGAGACATGAAATTATTTACAAAGTAATTTAATATTATTTACACACCAAGTAGCACGGACAAGACTTTTACACATGAACAATTCCTGCATCAAGATAATATACATATACACACTCACATACATACACACAATAGGCAGCTTATGAATACATGTAAATCACATTTCCATTATAACAGAAAATTACGATACTGCATGTTACACCAGTGGCGTGTTTAAGTTGACCGAGGACGTTACGGCCGGAGACGAGTGGTGGATGGTACTAGAACGAACCAGCGGGTCTACAGTTACACTCGGTGGAACTGTTGATAGCAGAGGACGATTTGTACGGATACTAGTTGAGGAACCTAAACTCATGAGAGATAACTGTGAACTAGATATGGCAGTGTCAGCTATTAAAGCTGACGTAGCGTTCATTTCCATCAGGTTTGATGGTGGTGGAGGCGGCAGACCAAGTAACCCAAAACTTTTGGAAGGATCAAAACCAAATGAGGGCGCACTTTGTGTGGATGTGCTACGTTGTGTTACCGTGTTGGTCGACAGAGGTTTGGATGAAACACTAGCTGTTCGAACATTCCTTGTAACCCCAGTCATGCTGTCTAGCATTCTCGGAGTTGTACCTGAACTCAGCAGTTGTGATCTTGTTCTCGTAGTCGAAAATAATGGTTTTCGTGTAAAAGTGGTACCAGAAAACGTGGATCGGAACAAAGGCATATTCTGAGTGGAAGGAGCTACGCTGACACCTCCCGCCTCAATAAGTGGGGATGTAGATGTTCTCTGTCCTCTAAAAGCGCCAGGTTTCTCAGCAGGAAGGTCATTGGATGTTGTCATTAACGGTCTGCGTGTACTACTACCGCTAAATGGTGTTGTCATTTTAGATCCTTCGAACAGGTTTGTAGTTCCCTGGAAATCTGACTGTGTTGATAAACTCCTCACTTTCGAGGTCACAGACTGAGTGTTAATACCGGAATCACGACCATTGAACGGTATCGTCGGTGTTGATTTAGTAACACCTAGTAACGGCGACAGGCTTGTGAAGTCATTATTGAACGTAGACAGGAGACTGTCTGGTATATTTGCAAGGAAATTTGAATCACTTGGCAAAACTTTAGCTGCTGCATTTATTTCACTTCTGACAAACTCATTTCGCATTGCATCGAATTCAGCACTTCTCAAAGATGGCGTTGTTACTTGGAAGTCTGCAGAGGAGGTTAGTCCACCAATGTCTATTTGCGGATTATTCTGATTCGGCGTTCCATCTGATGCGGTTAAAAGATTCTTCTGGTTGTTTAAGGTTGTTAAACTCGGTATTGGTTCCTCCCTATTAATCGTGACACCGGAACGTCTCATGTTGATATCTGAGAGCCCACCACCACCAGCCACAGTATTAACACCAATGCTTCTTACAGGTGGTTGGCGTATTATACCACTTTGTTGGAATCCCTGACTAGGGTTCTGGTTAAAAGCAACATTGCTCTCTGTTATTACTCGTAGAGAATCTATATTCGGTGTTTTGATGATTGTTGAACTAAAAATATTTTGGTCGTTGACAATACCATTAGATTTTTCACTTAATTTATTTGAACCTGGACCGCTTTTTATTTTTTCGATATTCGAAGTCCGTGTATTAATAGGAAGTATAGGGGATGCCGCGTTTTGTGAAATTTTCATACTTGAAACATTTTTAATGTTAGAATCCCTGGATGAGTTTGAGCTCTTTAAATTTGGTTCTCCTATCAAAATTGGATTTATTGGGCCAGTATTTGCAGATCGTGACAAAAATGCGTTTTCCATAGCATTACTTGGCCGTATATCTACAACTTCAGTTTTAGGAATGTTTATGCTCTCTGTCATACCAGCAAACGGCGGGGGAGGGGGAAAGTCGATTTTAGAATCTTTCGGATAAGCTGGGACTTGCGGTGACGTGGTGAAAATTGCTTGTACTGGCTCCTGACCTGAAATAATGTGTATGATAAATGAACAATAGCCATAACGAAAGCTTGTTACAAAACAAAAAGATTTTACTTACAACGGTACAATAATATGACAGAATATGATCAACATTGCAATAAGAAGTATTGAAAGCAAACAGAGATAAGCATATATATGATTGGTAATGAATAGAATATTCATACTAGATATAATGAATGCAGGATACAAATTTGCTAGCTGAGCATACTATATGTATTATGATTTGTGATATAGTTCATACAAATAAAGCAAAATATACCAATCACGTTGCAAACATTTAACCTCTTATCAAGAAAAAAGCATGACTCTGCACCTTTAAGGCATGATTTAGTGGTGCGATCAGCGATAAGTGCATGCGTATTGTACCTACCTGCACCTGAAGCTGAATTTGAAGCTGTAGGCGAAGCATACTTTTGTGCATCAACAACTGCTTGTGCTACTGTGTTTATGACTGCTGTGGGAGTTAAAGCTGTTTTAGCAGGGTTAAATTGGTGCGAAAAAAATTCACTCAAAACCTCAGATATAAGTGTCTTCAGTGTAGAAATATCCATCACAACATTCTGTGGCCTATTTGGTGCTGTGTTCGTCTTACCTAGAGTCGCATCAGAGCGAGATAGAGCACCTTCGACTAGTCCACTTGCAGCCGACAAAACTTCCGTGTTAGAAGAACTATTATCAATTTGGTTCAGGTTTCGGATGATTCCTGAAGTGTTAAGGCTTGTTTGTATTAAAGCCTTGATAGTTGCTGAAAATATATATATATATTCTTTATCCCAATAAACATTTGAAACATATATTCACAAAATAATCACAACTAAAGCAAGGTATCTATAAATTTATATCAATAGATGCCTTGAACATGATTTCTAACATTTCAAAACCACTCGTATGGAATTAAAGAAGTTTAAATGGAACACAATTGATTGATGTAATAACACTGAAATTCAGGAAGGTATGCCCCACATGAAATTGAAGTTTCCATTCAGGAAGGTAGTATTTCAGTAATATATCAAAAAGAAGTGCAAAATTCCTCTATAATTTTATCTTTGTTAAAGAATTTCTGTATATATATATATACATACCTGTAGGCATTGCGACATCTGTAATGTTTGAAGCTGTTTTGAATGCCGTCGCTGCTTGTTCTATACCTAGTTTTGCAGTTTCTGTGTTGGTAGCTTTTTGGCGGACTTGAATATCTGAAGCTTTCCCGGATGCAACCATGATATCTGGTAATGAAGATGTCACAGGCAGACCAGTAACTTGTTCAGGTGATTTCACGCCATTAGCTTGAGACTGAGAGGGTTTTACTGGAGGTTCAGCATTAATAGTGTTAGTAAACAACGATCCCTTACCAGAAGTAGTGGAATTAACTACAGATACTGCGTTTAGGTTAAGAACGTCTGATGTTGTTTTAAGATTTGGTAAGTCCATAGGGATATTAGGCGCCTGTGGTACAGCGGGAACGTTATTCTGTATAGAGGAGGCATTGTTTGCTGATGTATCTAATTTATTTTGTGTCTCTACAGTGACTACATTTGGTGTTTGTACTTGCGAAGGAATGTTGTTAGTTCTGTTGGCCAAATTGATTTCTCCTGCTATATTAGAATTTTTGATTATGTTTATAGATTGCGTGCCTGTATTCTGCGGCACAATTAGAGGAGGAGGAGGGTTAATCGAGGACGGATTGATAAGCTCTATCCGTTTGGGGTCGTTGGCGGCAATGTTAACACCGCCTTCAGCAAAAAGTGAATTAGAAGAAGTATTAGCTGTTACTAGATTCATGCCTACATTGACGTTTCGAGTATATGTTGGTGAGGAAGTGCCATTAATTTGTGAATTTAAATCTTGCAAGTTATTTTGTGTTGTTGAAGCACTTGCTAAAAGTGCTTGATTAAGGCTGGAAGTAAGATCCTCTATTGCCTTTTGAGTACTTTTGTCAGTCGTTAATTGTTCGGAAAGAATATTTGAAGTGATACTGTCCTGAACGGTATTTGCTGTCATTACGTCACCTGCGAAATTGTTGCTGCTATTCAGTACTGTGTTTGTTTGTCTTCCCATGCCAACAGCTGATAAAGAATTATCTATATTCGAACTTACACCGCTTACGACATTGCTTTGAATTATTGGTTTAACCTGAATTTGGTTCGAAGCACTATTTGATTGTATATTTCTGCTTTCGCCTGATGCTGACATAAACGTTTGAGACACTTGTGTGCCAGTTTGCAAATTATTGTTTTGAAGCGTGTTATATTCAATATTTTGCGTATTTGCTAGGTTTGGACTTTGCTGACCAGTTATTCCGGTTACGTCTCCTTGTTGTTTACTTTGTCCTGTGATTTCAATTGTAATTAAGTTTGGATTTCTCACATTAGACTGACCTTGTATTATACTCTGTTGCTTTATTTGCCCTATTTCATTTTGGACTACTCCTGTATCTAAAAGGTTACGTTGATCGATGTTTTGATTGATATTAGACGTGACAGGCGCACCTTGAGTGTTCATTAACATTGTGTTTGTACCTTCAATGGCATTCTGATTTACTGTTCCGAACTGTATATCATTTGTTAAAGGTACCATACTCGGTCCTTGTATAAGATTCTGATCCAAACCTGGATTTTGTATGTTAACTTGTTTAATGTTTCCATTCTGACCAACAGCTGTGTCTACAGGAGTATCAGCCGGAATGTTAACAAACTGTCGTCTTTGCATTCTATCCATGGCCATATTCTTCACTGCAGATGTGAACTGACCTAGGTTTGCATTGTTTTGAATCAGAGTCAGTGTATCTGTTTGCGTTTGAGCACCACCCCTATTCACTGTTGATGTTAACGGATTTAACTGTGTTTTTGATTCTGCAAATGTATTCACTGGACCAGCATTGGAAGGTTGACTTTGAATATCAGCTTGTCTGTCAAGTGCTAGCTGACTATTCCTGGCGTTGGCAAACTGGTTCTGATTAAACTGGCTGCTAGCTATATTATTAGTTTGTTGTACTGTTGATAAATTTAACGTGTTATTGTTCGTAATGCTGGCATCACTGACCTTTGAAAGCGAGTTGAACATCGTCGACTGATCAACCTGTCCTGTCGTGCTTAGTCCGACCTGTGAATTAAGATTGGTTGATACTGAAGACACAGGTAGTATAGGGGGTGGAAGAGACATTGTACTATCTACCATGTTACCAGTATCCTGTGTGAGCATTACGTTGTTTTGTAGTTGCACGGGCTGTGGACTAGCATCTATGGTAGTGCCTTGAGCTTGATTTGGAAATAAGCCTGTACTTGTCTCGCCACTTAATTGGCTTGGTTGAGTTTGGGACATGCCTATCTGGGTGCTGGTGGTTGAATCAACGATTGGTCTCATTGCATTATCTGTCGGCAAGATATTATTGGTTTGCAAGCCTACTGAGTTATCAACTGCTATTTGTCCTGGAGAAGGTGTTTGGGCTAGTGTCGTTGCAGTCTGCATACTAGATGGTAAGTCAAAAACGGACGTTGAAGTCCTTGTCATTCCCGATTGCATCATATTATCATTATTGCTAATTGTTGAAGGATCGAACATTGATTCTTGGACAGATGATGTCTGCGACTGGGTTTGTGTAATGTCTGTCTGCGTTCTAGTAGGTGTATTGAAAATAGGTTCTGGAGTAAAAGCGGGTTCCATAATTGTTTGCCTATTTGCTTGTATATCAAATCCTGTTTGAACAGAAGTCGATGACTGTGGTTGGATCGGTGGCATGTCAGTTTGTAAATTCGTTTGCATGTTTGTTGATGTACCCGTAACAGAAGGTTCGAATCGAGCGTTTGCATTCTGTGAATCTGTTAGAATACTATCTACAGTCTGAATATTAGCATTACTGTCGAGGGTTTGCGGTAGTGGTTGGGTACCAGAGGCAGCTTGAAAGACAGTGCTTGTAATCCCCGCCGTATTTTGTGTGGGGGACTGCGGTGCTTGTATCTCTCCATTTATTGATGGCGGGAAGACTTTTTCAAAAGGGTCAGTGTTAATAGTTAGAGGTGGTTGTGTTACTGGTTGATCCAATCCATTATTGTTATTTACGCTACTTGGGAGGAAGAGAGTTCTATCCTGGAGTGGTGGAGTGGCTGTTTCTGCAAAAGCATTGTTAGGTATAGGTTCTGGAGAGTTGTTAGGCAAAAACTGGTTAGGGTCAGGACCAGGGTTAGTAAATCGATCAACACCTGAAGATAACGGAGCTCTTTCACGCGCCACTGCAATGGTCCTCCTGCTAGGTCGCGATTGGTCAACACCTATCCTTCTATTCGTTTGATCTCTTGTTGATTGGCTTCCAATATTCTGACGAGATCTTGTCCCAGTTGTACGGTCCAGTGGACGGGTGGTTGTAAATCTGTCTACTCTGTCTACAAGGTTTCGGTTATCGACTCTAAACGCGTTTCGCCTTTCCTCAAGAATCTGGTTTCTGACACTATTGCTCCTGAGGTTATCCGGTGCTTGTAATAAACCGCCTATCAACAGATACCAGCTAATATTTCAACAAGGAACCAACCGGCATATACAATCATTGTTTTTCAACTAGTGGGTTTAAAAGCAGTTCAGGAATGAAATTTTATCTGTGCAATATATCTAATAGATAGGTCCAAAGCATTTGCTCCTCTAGATAGAAATAATACAAGTCAGTAACACTGAGTATACTATAACATAACATTGTAGCATTTCATTAAGTATCAGTTGACGTGCTATCGAATATTCATTATAGCTAGTTTAAATCCGTGTGCATCTTACCTGCTTCACCATCACGGGGGCGTAACACTACAATAGATTGTTCTCTTCCAACGGCCGGGTTCCTTGGACCTGAAAAATGAAACCAGTCAAAATAAAGCAATGTAATACGTTTACCTGATACATGTATGGGTGTAAATGTAGAAAAAAAATTTCCAAATGTTTCAAAAACATTGGTTAAAAGCCGAGTATTTCACAAGTGCAACATGGGAACGCCGATATAAAATGTAAAATGCTTTTTACTGCTTATTTGTAATGACGTCAAGAGGATTTGATGTACAAAATTAGAAATATTTTATGGGTATAAATCTATGTTAAAAACCATCGATGAACATGTCGACATATATATAAAAAAAGTCTTACAAAAAGTTACACAATTGGATAGTACCTTTTATTAGTTAGAGAAGAGGCAAATAATGGATTGAAACAAATCACAAAGTTGATTCGTCTTTCAAACACTCGTCAGTGATTCTAAGGTTCTAAATTTTGAAAAAGTGAACATTCAAAGTAACCGAAAGAAATGTCTAGATGGAGAAGTGCTCTGATCCTTATTTTCAGTAAATTTTGTTATTCTTGTGTGTCTGATAATGTTGCCAAAACGTCTGAGTGGGATTATGGAAAATCGGATTGTAAATACTGAAATCATAGTTCCGTACATATATTCTGCAATTAATTATGGAACACCTGATTGTACTGTCACACATATATTTGTACTGGTGACACAGAGGAAGACAGTATATTAGCGACTGTACACTCATAATGCACCATCGCAAATTTCATAATTGCAGAAGGTGATCTTTCGTGGTCACGCTTTTGTTCTTAGCGTCGCTTTTTTGACGTGTCGGGGTCATTTATTTAATCAATAATCATTGTTCGGGCTAAATATGTCAATTACAAATCTATGTACAGTACATCGCGCTTACATTGTCGCAAATTATGTCATTGACCAAACAAATGTCGAGTTACTTCTCGAATGAAGGAAAATATGTTGATTTATTTTCTTCTTAATGTGATATCGTATAACTTAGTACATACCTCTAGTAGTCTGTGATCCAGGAAGAAGATTAGCCCGCCGGGCCGCGTTGATGATTGTCCTCAAATTCAGGGGCAACGTGCTATTTCTTTGCATCTGGGCTCTCACTGTGGCAAAGTAAGTACGTAGGATTTGCCTTTACAAGGATATTCATTGAGACTTTTACTTATTTCCCTGATATTTTGTGTGCATTTCAGCATGAACGATTAAAAAATTAATCATATTCTAGAACTTAAGGAGTTTCAAAACATGAAAATAATTTGAACAGAAGATGATCTTGAAACACAAGTATTATTCAAATAAGCAATAAAATAGATGTTATGCAACAGTGTTAATATTCGTTAAGATTATTTTTCCGATTTTTCTCCAACCTCTCTGCTCAGGAAGGTAGCCTTCTACCAGATGTGTTGCTGCTTGAAGAAGAAAATACGAACCTGGACGCGTGCTTATCTTAAGACGTAGCTAGGGAAAGCATTCCACATTTGCATAAATTATGAACTCTAATGTCGAAACATCCTACGATATGTGCAGGTGACCTACGAAAGTATACGGACATTGTCTTTCGACAAGTATAAGAAATATGCGATGACGTGTATTTCTGTATGTGAGGGAAATTCAAATAAATAATATATAGGATATTAAGTAGAAATCCAATAACGATATATATGGTAGCCGTTTGACTTTAACTACGACACGGTGCTTCTGTTGTGGTATATATGGGACACTAAACGAAAATCATAAGTACATTTGATGGCAGGGACTACTTAAGCACGGTTTCTGTTACATTTATATCATCGTAATGTTACATACATGGGATCTAGCATTAACGTACTGTTAGATGACAGTTAACATTCGATACAATAAACCCCATGCAATGCACCACATCTTATTGACAACTAAGTGCTACACAGCAATATTTTGTGACATGAATTGTTATAATATTATAATGCGAACGTTTATGCACACGCAAGCGCATTGTTAATAATATATATATATATGTGAAAGTGATACCATTAAAGAAAATGCCGATTTGTCAACAGAATCATACAAGCTCAAATACGATGAAACTATGACAATATATGAACAAAGGAAAAAAAATTGGAGGCCCCTGAAAAATAACAGCAAGACCAGGCGTTCCGTCAGAGTTAGCGTCTCCTGACATCTGCCAGTTTAATTCAATTCAATAAGGTATGCAATCAAAATTCAAACTCAAAATATAATGGAAAGTATTATGGCTATTTTACCTCTTCCGTTGAATCGCCTGCTGCCGCTCCCGCCGAGAAAGCGCCGTGCGTCTGCAAAATTGTTTAACGCCAGATAGTCAAGCAAGCGGCTTGATTGTGCAACAAGACAATCATATAGAAAGCAGAGAACAATGAGAGCCGAAAGCTTGTTACATGTAATGCTTTGAGCGCAATGTATTATGACTATTAGTATATGATTAACATTAGTAGAATATATATCTTATGTAGATTAGATACAGTGTAAAAGGAATCTGCATAAATTCAGGTGAAATTGGAGGAAAATTACTTTAAAATAGAGTTGTTAACAGCCTGTGATTAGGAATTACAAAGACGGAGGCACTTGTCGACGCATAATTCATCTAATTTACATGATGATATCGAGATAATTGCATATTTATAATGTAATAAAACTGAAGATAACGAGAAAGACAGTGACGCAAGATGCATTACAACAAAAGTGGAGACAACAACAGCTACTTTGGATAGTGAACAAATAGAAGTAATATACCTACAGATATCTGATATCTTAACCAAAAACAAGCATAACAAATAAAAGGAAATCCATCATATTTTAAGACAACGTCAAACACGCAGTAGGACAAATACCAAATGGAACTCTAGACGCATTACATAATGACAATGCTTATAAAAACATTGAATATTTCAATTAAAAGTTAAAAACACGCAAACAACCTCGGATCCATCACGATTTATGTAAATCAAAGCAGGAGCATATAGTATTAAGGACGTCTGGTACATTAAAAATTAAGAATACACATCCTTATATTTGTTAAGAACGTGTTGAAAATAATCAAAACACTAAACCTTTAAGAGGAATTAGAGCTACTTTATTAGTATTTGTTTAGCTAAGCTATTGCGGAGTTAGTACACAAATAAATATAGAAGTCTTACCTGGCATTAGCTGTAGCTGTGTTCTTCCGTCAGGTCGAGGAATCAGAAACCCTGATATTGGAAATTATTTTTATATCAATAAAAGACCAATGAATTAAAATATAAAAAATTATCATGTCATTTTTTATCAAAGTTCCTGATCACGTAGAAGTATTTGAAAATCTAATTTTTAACATATTTTAATATATCCTCCCCACGTACCAATGAGTCTAGGATTAGCACCTCGTCCAGTCGTTGACCTGCCGTTCTGAAGTAAGTTTCGCATGGACCTTACCGCTCCTTGTTGTACAGGAGTAAGAATGACCCTGGCATTGTCCATACCATTTGCGGACGTACCAGACCTCCCTCGCCCACGAGCATTAGCAATTCCAACACGTGTGTTAGCTTGTCCAGCACGTGTGTTAGCAGTTCCAACTCGTGTGTTGGCTATTCCGATACGCGTGTTGGCTCCGCCACGTGCGCTAGTAATGCCAAAACGTGTGTTGGCAGGGCCCACGCGTGTATTGGTAGATCCAACAGTTCTTCGAGAGGCTGGCACCCGACCGGAGGCAGTTCTCCTCAATGATTCGACGCCGACTGTTCTCCGGGACGTGCCTAGCCTGTCCCTTCTTCTCGCTGTCCCTAATCGTCCACCTGTTCCTGATCTTGATAATGTGCCTACCTCCCACAAAGCAGATATGACATGAACAATAATGAGTTAACGACAAAACGCTTTATAGAAGAATTAAATATAAAATATATGATTTAAGCGCACATTGTTATAGAAAGCACATATTTGTAATGAGTGCCGTATTTATTTTTAAAGTGATCTAGTATTCTTAAACCTCTGTCACCACTTTATATATATGGTGTAAACATGTGATTAAAACATATACTTACGGTTACTGTTTCCACTTAAATCTACAAGAAAACAAAGGCATTTAAACTATGAATATATAGCATACATTTTGTATAATACAAACGTAATTTCTGATTTAATTATAAATAAATGTTTAAGTAGATATCTGATCTAATGATAATGTACTTCTAAAATATCTTATATGATATACAGTGGCATCGCCAACGTCCCAACAACATATTTATCAACAAAGACGAAATTACTTCAATAAACATTTACTTTTAGGACACGTGGACAAACGGTAAATCACTGGGTAAGAAGATTGTTGAGCATGCATACGCATAGGTTGATGATGAAATAGTGATAGAGACATCGTTTGAAATGTAAACACCCACTCCAACATGATGTGTGATGCTACATCGTTTCAATGTTTCACGTTGGTAAAGGTTAATTATTTGCCCTATTTATTGTTAACCGTTACAAATTCGTTATGTTGGATTGAGATATCAAACTTTCTGTTCACACAGTTAACCGATAAAGGTTCATACTTATGATAAGTCAACATATAACACATAACTGGTTCATACATATGCTTAGAATGATTCATACTGATGATAGTGCAACCTACAGCATATAACAGGGTCACTGATAATGATTAATACTCATTGTAGTGTATACTACAAAATATAACTGGTTCATGATTAATACTCATTGTATTGTATACTACAAAGTATAACTGGTTCACAGAGTCACTAATAATGGTTCATACTGACAGTTTATCTCATTACAACATAGTAATAGTTCAAAGGTCACCTTATAAGATATTTCTGTTTCAAACAATCACTGTAAGACTATCATTTTGATGACAGTTCACCCTAAGAAATATCACTGGCTCACGCCATTACTGATAATGTTCCATATAGTTCGACAATACGTATAACACAATACTGGTTTATATTGATAATAGGTCACACATTAAACTATTACTACTTTCCACTGTAATTTTATGATAGTCCTGAATACTCTAATATAGACAAAATTTTAGTTCAAGAAAGGTAGAGTAGGTAAGCAAATAATTGTATATCCAGTATTTAACTAGCGATTGTTAAAGGGACTAAATGGTTAGATATTCATTTCATAACCGATAAAAACATTATCACACTTAAATATCTGTTAAACGGAGAGTATTTTCTGTTACTTCAGTGTTTGAAAGTTTGTCAAAAATGAAATAGGAGCGACCCGACACTAATTCATATCATTATCGTTCGGAGAGTATAAACAATGTCTTTTTGTGCATGCTATTTTAGATTCATGTCAATTCAACTTCGTTTAATTCGCTTTGTCATGCGTATAGCGTGAAACAAGATGTCATTTGACAAAGTGAGAATTAAAACATGGCTGGGAAATTAAGTTTTGTCTAATTACATAAGTATACATAATAAGAAACCATATCAAAACGGCGGATAAAAACGAGGCTCCGAGTCATGTGATGAACTCGGCTCTAATTAGTTAGAAGCTGGTGATCTTTTATCAATTTCTCTCAGAGAGTGTTATGATTTTGTGAAGAGTCTAATTTTAAATATTACAATGCCTGCCCGAAAGCGAACACTTTGGAAATCTAACCATTTATTCCCTTTAAAAATCATAGCGAGACGTGTTACATTAAATAAAAACGCCAGACCGTTCACCAATAGGTTATTAAATATCTGTTCCTGCTTACATTAATCAGATGTTGCCCAGCAAATAAAATAAGAGTTCACATAATATGAATTAATTAGATCAATATTATAGTATCTTAATTATGTTTACATGTACAATCATAACAGCCTATTGTCATTCAATATTCATTGACCACATACATCACAATAAAATGACAAAAAATGGACTATTATGTGGCATGTCCTGGGTTTTTTTAAATACGTTAGAGTAAGTAGTGTATCAGTAATATTGTTATTTATTATCTGGGTTGTATAAACAGATATATTAGGCTCGTCAAATATCATAATACAATGGCAAAGTTTAGTCATATGTTGTTACTACTACTTTAAACAGGGGATAATTAAAGGGGAAATCCAATGTTATGAAGAATTCATGATCTGAAGTAATGTAACAAACTTGGGATGAGATATTTCATATAAATATTAACATTGACATTAAAATGTTACCAAACCAAAAAAAGGTCGGTACAGAGTAGTTATCTGTACAATGACCTATCTTACCAGGTAACAACTAGTTGGACATCATTCCTGGATAATAACCAGTGGTACAGATAGCAGCAGGATCTCATATAACGCGGGTAACATTCAGAAGGATTTCAATCCATGACCATAAAAAGCTTGATAAATCGCCATATTTACCAGTGGTAGAATATCTTTATTCTGGATAATCTTAAGCATCAATTAAAGTCATTATCAGGAGGAACAATCATCTTCATTGCCGTTGGCATTTAACAAAGAGAGCATGTTGTATGGCATAATTGCATGGCAGTATCCAATAGGACATACAACCATAGCACAACTTGAAGTAAGATATATTTAACCCTGGTAGAATAGAATATAAATGAAATCTAGCCCGACATATAGATGAGCACTATCATTCATTAAAACATATAACCATGGTAACTCTAATCTCACATGTTATTGTGACAGTCTTTTATAACGAAACCATTGACACATTTTATCGGACATACCATCGGTAACACCATGCTAATGATTAATAACATATATAGCATTGTTATACGAAAGACAAGTCTGAACTTAGCAATATACAAGTACCATATATTCGACAATGCGATGTTATTGAGAAGCGTTTATTCCCTATCTGAATTTTGCTTTTTGTTAGCTAAAAATATACATGTATGGACACATTACCCATAAGAATTTGAAGCCTTAAACGTTGTACAATGATTAAAACCAATCAAATGTCGACCTGTTAACAACATCTAAATTCAAACTTAATATCAATTAAACGAAGATGAGCAAAACCTTTAAACGGCGACCTTTAAACGAATGACAATGAGAATAATACCAGAGTTCTGGAAGGGTAACAAGATCTGCTACATCGATACATGCGCCATGTAAATCTTGGTAAATCAAAATAAGTAATGTCACGTTCTAAAATCAGAACTAGTTTTATATAAAGGGACCCAACAAGTATACTCACGACAAAATAACAAATCAAACTTCCGAGGTGAAGCTAAATCATACAGAAGTGATGTTATATTTAGAAAGGCTATTGATACCACAAGCCAAATATGGCAATTCATTAGAAAATAAGGAAAATACATATTGGCCTTAGTATTGGCAAATACTAGTGTAAAGTATGGCAGGTGCATCACAGCATGCCGACAAATCACCGGCTACTGTTTGTGAGACGACCCAAAGAGCAATAGTAGATTTTAAAAAACATCTAACCAATTACCCAAACATTCCTGAATTTATTCAGCAGCGTTATTTTTATAAGGTTTAATATAGATTTATTCATTATCAAACATTGAAATTGTTTGTAACGATGAGAACGTTACAAATACGAAGTGGAGAATTCATGGAGTTTAACAATGTCCTTTGGCTAAGCTTACCTGCAAACTATGTGTAAATATCATTACACACACATCTGTGAATAGGAATGCTAAATTACATAATATGTCATAAAATTAACAACATTACATTGCACACACGTCCGGGTTTTAATATTTAATGGGGAAACTCTGAGTTCATAATGGATAACGGTATCTATCTATGTTATATCGGAAATGGGCTTGATAGGAGAGACGTTTTGTCCATGTCCAAATCACTAACTAGAACAACGATCGCCTATCAAATAGTTATAAACGTCACTATAGTGAAAGGTATGTGTAGGTCACTTACGGAATGCTCGCACAAACAGCTATTTCACTCAAGTACATGTACACATAGCGTTGGGTTTTTTCGTGTTAAGGTTTTAGCTAGTTATAGCTAAATGTTTGAGATACCTTTTTTTAATTGGTCACACTTTAGCCAAAAAAATCAGTCTCGTGTCGTTATATATGTTTAAGTAAGAAAATGTGTCATACTTGTTGGAGACTCAAATCTATATCTTTTGTCATTTATGATGTATCATAATGAATTACATTTTCATTTTTCTAATTTTCAAACTTTATAAAATCTATTTTTTCATTTCGATTATCATCTCACTAAGTCAAACAACGCGATTTTTAAAAACAATCGTCACTTTACCAACACTTGTAAAAAATGATACCGTCACAAACAACATGTGGAAGAACCGGGAAAACATACAGTCTTGTCGAGTGTTCCCCAATGTGAACCCAAACCTCGATAATTTACCAGCTTTATTAACTGAGCTAAATAACAGATGTGAGACAGAGACTATAATTAACCCTGTATAAGCCAAACCCACCCGTTAATTTTACAGGAAGCAAAAGATATACAAAATGACTCTTTAGTTTTAGATTCCACTGGGAGTATCAACATAACGTGTATATTTTATAAATTAGCGTGTTTCATATTGCAATAACTAATTTAATAAATACAGAGAAAACCTACATTGCTTCAAAATTATACACAACATTCACCTACCTTATTTATCAAGATTTAGTTTGCTTTTCTTTCAAAAAACTGTAAGATAATCTGTTGAATGATTTTTGCAACTGAGTATTCTGTTATTCTTTATTACAAAAAAGGGTAGGATATGTCTTTTGTTTAATGGCCTGTGAAACATAATAAAAACAGAAAATCAATAAATTCTGCCATTAACACGACAGGAAGTATTGTAATACGGCCATATTAATATCAGTCGGTGATTGGTTGGAGCCATGGTTATTGTCATTAAGTATATTTCTGCATTATACCTATCGGTTTGGTATACCAAGCGACGCCCACAATAATACTAATGTATGCGGCCGAATAAAAGAGCGGTGTGTGAAAGAAAACATTTATCAAAACATCTTACATTATCGTTTTATATGTCATTATTATTGATCTATGTATTCTCCTTATGCAATTGTCAACAAGATGTGTGTGATGCCGTTGTTATAATGCGATGTCAGTATTTAAGATAACACGTTGGCCTCACAGTAACTACGTTCTTTAGTATTGAGCAGGAAACGTGGTTAGATGTTAATAGGCGGCTGTCAATCACCTAATCACCATTATCGAGACATACATCTATAACATGAATGTTGAACCGATCACAACAACAAGGCTTACCGCGTGTGTAGCGCGACATGAAAGTGACGTGTAGTTGACATGTGATTGACAAGTAGAGTCATTATGCGTGTATGCTGTACATGGATATACGCACCACATAAATTAATTATGTCAATTTATACTGGAAACGATATAAAGATTGTAACTCGTATGAAGTTGCATGTGTTTTAACACAAGACGTGAGAAACCGCTTCCTTTGGTATGATTTTATAGCTGGTAGGCATATAGAGACACTTCTATATTCAGCTTGATAGCATTGATTTTGACGCGCCGTTCAGAATTGAAACGTTTCGTTTTATAATTATGAAAGAAATCACGATCTGTTACCTTTAATTTACATTAAATTTAAGAAATAAAGTCATGAAAAATATGCTTTAGTTTTTACATTTGCAGAACACTGTTTACAAAACGAAGACAATATAAAATACAATATGATTAAAATTAGATTCCTCATATTACTCGTTGTCGTACCTCGCCTCATGGAGCATTTTGTAATTTCCAATTGTTTTTGCATAAATGTGAAAAAATAGTAAAGTATAATTATATAAACCAAAGAAAGGCCGGCGTGTATCAGATTAAAAAAGAAAATATTTACTTTGACGGATATTCAAAATGGCAAAAAATGCATCTAAGAAAATAGAAAGTCTGTTATCAAATTCAACAAAAGATTTCGAAAATAAATACTGGTCCTTCACTCTAATTTCATTTTATGGTTGTCATCGAAGAAGAAACGACAATCACGATGTAAGGTAGTATGTAGATATCTGGTCACCTTTACTTATCTTAATTTCCTGTGTTTATGTTGCATACAGAATGCATTTAATAATATTAACTCGGGAATTCTTCCAAACAACTTCCTGCTGTTTAACGTTACAGGTAAAGCAACACTTAAAAAACAGTTCAACTCGAATTATCAGCTTTAATTTTGCATAAGTATGAATATGATTAGTCTTGCTTGGAGATTAACGTGACAGTAACATGTTGAATAGCGTAATTACAAAAAGCCACAATAACAAATTGGACCTATTTGCGTATATTTCGAATGTAGGCTGTCCTTGACAATTTGAAAAGTATGAGAAAACTTAACTTTGTTATTGTAACTTCCAGACTATGAACAGCAGAGTATAGATGTTTCAATGAATTAGACAAAAAGACACAAAAGTGAATAGCACCTTTCAATACAAATTAAGAGTTAAAAGCAGAAGAACCAAGTAACGAATAAATAGATAGTTCTTCCTTCTAGGACGCATGGTACAAATGGCCTAGACTAGAGAAAATCAAAACTGGTCAAATACTTATCGATATAAGTCTACTACTGTAGAATCCTATATTTGCGTTGGATTCAATTTTCGTGGTTTAACAAAATAACTATTTCGTGGACACTATTTTACGGATATGTATAGCTCAATAAAACTGATGATACCACGTTTTACCAGTTCGTGAATCCTGGATTCAGAGTATCCACGAAATCTACAAAAATAAATCCCCCACGAAAATTAATGACTTTACAGTAGTCTACATACGCTACAAAGGCTAATATGTTATAAGTGTATGCTGCTATCGTTCAATCGCTGTGTCTCAAACAGCTTCGGGTAAAAGTATTTCTGTGGAGGTGTTACGAGATCTACGCTTGTCACCAATCCCAGACACATTTATCATGAAGAATCGTGTTGATGTTGTGTAGCTTATAAGTGTGATATTTCATAATAACTCTGTGACAGCATCAGAAAGGTTGTCAGGTTATCGCACATGTGCCGTTTCGAAGGGAGGAGAAGGATGAACAAGAAGTATATTTATATAATGGAAGTATGGGTAGAGATGAGAGGATTGTTAAAATGGGGAGGTGAGACCCGATATCAAAAGACAATATTTAAGCTCTAAGTATATGACTTGACATCAATATTTTTCTCAGAACATCCTGAAACTGATTCCTTTATTGCAAGCTCAATAAACAGGTACTTCTATGTTAGGCATAAAATTCGACAAATGATTGGTTATTAAACATACATATGTAATGATAAATTCATAATAAATTGAGTTTACTCACGATTAGCATTCACTCCGCATAAATCTGGAACAAAAAAATTACTTTAATGAAATTCTACAAATCCATCTGGAAGCAATATTAACATCACATATCAATCTTATTGCAATTCTAATTGTATCATTAAGTTACTTTGATTGGCAGATTTGTCAAAGTAATTACAGGTTAATAGATACATATAGATATATGTCTACATCTCATGAAAGCGGTATTGAACGGTACGCCTCGGCAGTTTCATTGCCTTCTGCCGAGGCACGACAACCAGTACTTGATCCTCCCATCAGCTCCTGGGACGATACAGTACTGTCGCACGAAGGAAGACAAAACTTATACAGTGCAGTACATCTCGTGCAAGTTGATACGGATTTTAATTCACAAGCTTGGTGTCTTTGTAACAATCAGAGTGCGCCTAACCTATGCACAGTAATTTGTGTTGAACATAGCCCCTGTAAAGCCAACAACAGGTGGAGCTCTGAATAATTAGAGATTAGATGTATTATAATATGTCTGATGTTTTATTAAAAATGCTTCATAAATATGCATGTAAAACAATACTTCTTCTGAGCGAATAAATAGTCTCTATGAACCTTATAAGGGGTTGCTGTGTCCACTATAGGCTGGTACATGTACGTATGAAACTGTTTCCGCCTCCATCAGGTATTGCAAACATCGCTCAGTGGCATTTTCGGATGAAGTATGGTAATTTCATATAGCATACATGCCACAGATAAGCGACTTTTATATGATATGAAAGAGTAAACTTGATAATGTAAGAGGAAAGCCGTCAAGATATACCAGCTAATTCGTCAACTCACAATAATTAAAGCACCAACAAACACGAGCAGATTTGTCAACATAATCGCAAACGTTTGTTTCACACCCCGTACATCAAGAGTAACAAGTAAAAACAGAGAGCATGACGGCAGATTTTTTTTAATGTTTCCAACCAAACAAACAATGGAGACACGTTTGCTGGATACAGCAGAAAGTTTGTTTGAACAATGCACAGAATCTTTCACTTTCTTTTCTAATTCAATCGGTACTCAGATGGGTTGTGACTGTTGGGTTTATTCATTGTAAAGCCTAGATGTCCGCGTAAAATGTTTGGGCGACACGACACAACTATCTGGATAATAATGACACTAAATGTGCTTGTAGTTTGACATATACTCAACAAATCTGACTTAAGATATTAGTTATATTCTATATAAATTTCAAGTAGCGGCTACAAATGCCAAAAACAACAATGAAAATAACGACATGTCAAGAGATTCCTAATTCAAACTCAAATTCGATGAAACCAGCGCAAGAACAAAAAAAGAGTTGAGATTCCAGCAAAAAAAGAAGAAGCGTGAGTCCAGATTTTCCGAAAGGATAAGCGTCTTCTGCTTTATCCAAATGTGTATTGTATTTGGTTTTCGGTCACATAGAAACAACTTAGATATGCTGTACTAAAGTTTTTTAATCGATCTTACGATTTTGCCAGGTGCTGACCAAAGATCGGTGCTTTTCCTCCTCCACCAACCAAACCTGACATGGCCTTAAATGGCCCTGGCTGTTAACAGGACGTAAAACAACTACAACATTTAACATATTAAACGGCTGACCACTTTGAGTGAATATCCAGTGCCTGTAAATGTTGAAAATTAATGAGTAGCTAATTATGTTGAAAATTGTGCAAAAATACACGAGTGAATGCAAACTTTTATTACAAATTTAGAGGTAGATAAAGTAGAATCAAACAATGAGTAAAACTGCATCATATAGATCTCTCGTCCTTTTAGGAATCGTCAGTGACGCTAGGGGCATAAAATTAGACAAATGTTGCTTATGATTAAGGGAAAATGATCTGGAGAGAAAGATATCAAAAATCATTCGCATGCCTGCATTAGTCGTCCAAGACAGACGCCGGAGCACATCAAAGGATTCCACGATAAGAGAATCACTGGGATTAATGGGGATGTTAAGGGGATGGGGGTTTGTTCGGGTACAGACTTAGTATGGATCTATAATGAGGAATAAAATATTATAACGTACAATCAACGTCCCGGATGAAAACAGGAAAATCATCCTTTTCATATGCAAGTGTTGAATTAACTGGTGATAGTGAAAAAAATGTCGGATTAATATAACTGTATCTAACTCAGATATACATTATACAGGCTGGACTAGAACAACCACGAACTTCAATGTCCATAACATAAAAAGCAATGGGTAGAAAATAAGACAGATCAAGAGTGCCTAATATGTAATCAATGTGTTCCAGAACTGCATCTTAAAGAGCCAATATCCGCAAACAGAAAGGAACTTTGTTCTACATAATCACAAAAGACAACAGTCATATCTGCAAGACATGCAATAGTATACAATAAGAAACTATTTTTTATAAAGTCAGATAGATGAACTATGGACACGGGACAGTTCAAGACGCAGAAAGTGAAAAGGCAGACCGAAAAAGAGTTGATATTGACGACATCTGAAAGAAAAATCACTATCATGTCCGGGTTTAGAAACGTTAAAGAGGTCAGTTTTGACCATTATTTGATGTTAATTTGGGATAAAACATTTTCGCAAAACAGCTTTATATTGCTTCACAAGACCGCAAAATATTACTGCCCACAAATCAGCGTACATGTCTTGGATTCTTACAATGCATCCGTGATGATATAAGATTAACGTCACTAAAACATGGAGAGCATCTGTAGTTAGCATTACCAACACCAGTAAACAATAGCATTGCGTTCCGTTTATAAAATAAAATTACTTATACTCGTGTATATACTTACATTTGCATATGCAGGTTAATGCAATTATGTAAATTATGACAGCTATCTATATTTTTTATAAACATGAGGTATTATTCAAAATTACAGAATGTAATAAAACAATTCTTACCTTCATACGTTAAAAATATCATTAAAAATCCAAGAAAAAGGTTGTAAAGGTTCATAGTGACAAAGAGGATTTCAAATTACGAAACGAAAATTTTCACCACAATTAAAACTCCATCAAGGTAAATGGTCCAGATGACATGCAGTCCTACTCGGAGAGACGTTACAAATATTCCAAATGATGCTAAACATAGAATCACACCTAAGCGATGTCCAGGATAGGTATTCTGTCTTGTGACGTCAGCTTTGACAGACAGACCGGTGCCCGTAGCTATACAAGACAAGCTACACGTGTTTGGTCATGTATTATCCTGGCGGAGAATAGCATTTTATCGACACACGGCGAAGTTTAGTCCCCTGGGCTGACAGCCTCTGACAGCCTTCATAACATATACCTTTCTCTTCACCTGGAAGATTATTCATAAATATGGACATTTATTCGAGGAGTGATTTACATAATTTACCAGAATAATCTCTTCATTGTGTTCGATATAATGAAACCATAAAATAGATTAATTTATCCAGAAAAAGTAATTTCAACAATCATGTGATCAAATGATGAAGCAATATTTTACCTTACTTGATGTATTGTTTTCTTGATTTCTTAAAGCAAGTTCTATCAGGTAAGTAAAGACATTAAGAAAAAAGGGGATATCATAGAATTGAAAGCGATAAAAGAGCTGTAAACACATGGTGATTGAAGACAGTAAAACGAGATGTGATTATAAGGATGAGGAAGCAGAAAATATAACATGATCACCACAGAAAATTGCAGCATGTATTGGAATGTGCATGGTAACGATTAATGGCTTCTGACCAAATCTTGACCTAGTTTTATGACTGTTTTGGAGATAAACCATCTATATGACAGGAAGCTTTCATTTTGGGTTCAGCTAACCGATGTTTAGCCTCGTATACACAAGTAGCTGGCATTAGGGAACCGCTTTACTGCACTATGGTGTTCCGAACATAACTCTGATAATGATTGAGTGGTCAGATACTGACAGGATTCGAAACACCAATCAATAAGTCTTAGTTGTTATTTCTTCAAAAAAATTATACACAAGGGGTTTAAATAGAAATAAACAGACATACATGATAACTGACAAGTACAGGAATAATTGTCAAACTCACCAGCATCAGACATTACAAACTGTTTAGTCATTGCACCAAATAGGAGGGCTTTGGGATATGTACAAATGGATTAAGAAGACTTTATATAGAACTTACCATAAAAACCTTTATGGGTGCAGTTTTTAGCAGGAAGATACTTATAGGTCAGCTACATATAGTATACTCGTAGGACATATGTATTTCAAATTAGGGAGGTGGGAAAATGGCTATTGACTCATTTAACGGTAGTTTGACTATTAAGATTAAAGAAACTGTGAAAAATACACCAAAGAAAAAACCTTACCTAACCATTTAAGGACTTCTGCATCATTCATACAACGAGGCAGGCAACGTATGGAATATTGATTTTATTCTCGCCTGTATGTATGTATGTATGTATGTATGTATGTATGTATGTATGTATGTATGTAATATATATGTACATAATTCCCGTTTACCATTCATCCGTTTCATCCTTTAAATCGAAAGGGTGTGTAAAAGTTTGAAGTTGAAACTGAAAAAAATTATGCGAGAGTGAATTCAAGATTTCAATATCTTAAGTTACACTTACGCCACATCGTGTCTGTAACAAACTGTGAATTGACAGTGTAACCAAAACGTAATACAGCATATATTTGTATAGTACAACACATTTCAATAGTTCTGATGGTTACCGGTTGATGGCCCTAATGACCTTTTGAGTGTTTGCGGGCCGTTAAGAATGTCATAATAATAATAATAATCTTCAATACTGGATAGCTCTATCTATGTATCAGTCGATCAAATTTACGTAACAAGACAGCATTATTTATGGTGAATAATCCTTTCATTTTTATATAACTTAGATTAACAGGATAATCATTTGGTAAGTAGAATTTTCACAAAGTTAACACGTTATAATACACAGAATATATAATATTTCCTCGCATGGGAATTTATTCCTGAAAAAATAGGCTTACCACTGAGTGCTCACAGAATCAACACACAGAATGGCCCAAATTGATACGTTATATGATACCATGTGTCGAAATTCAAAGTGGTTCAAACATAACACAATAAATTGTATACATGTATGTGATCAGCCTTAGACAGCAGGGTAGGGTTGAAAAATAACATCACCTACAAAACACACTTTTCAAATAATGACGTGGAAAAAAAATTAACACATAACAAGTAAATATGATTTGAAATGTATGCAATACAGTTCCCAAAAAAAAAAAAATATTACTGTGATCAAAATTCTAGCCAATCTTATTGGCCTATGAATATACCTCGTGATAACAAGGAGACTTGCTTAGAATTAACACATCGTCTCTTAATGATATTTCTGTTACATATTGTTACATCGACGTATGTAACCTTAGGTGCTGCACGGATAGGACGAAGAAAGTCAGCTCAGTATACTGTACACCACCTGTTGCTTTTAACAACAACTTATATATTGGATAATCACATGTATTAAGTTGTACATCTACAAAGGTGTATTGCCCTTCGTTGCTATGATTGATAAAACAGCAAATTCTGAATCATTTCTCAAGAAGTGCACGTACAAATATAGCTTCTCTAGTAAGTCATTTCTGTCGGGACCCTTTGCCGACCAAAAAGTGATGATGATGATGATGATGATGATGATGATGATGATGATGATGATGATGATGATGATGATGATGATGACGGCGACGACGACGACGACGACGATGATGACGCCGACGATGATGATGATGATGATGATGATGATGATGATGATGATGATGATGATGATGATGATGACGACGACGATGATGATGACGACGACGACGACGATGATGATGATGATGATGATGATGATGATGATGATGATGATGAATCTCCGATGTCAGATATACACGTATACATAGATATGGGGAGAGGCTATTATATATGTCATCAACACATCAGTTAATTAGGATTTATTAGAATATATTAGGAAGATTACTGGACACAGACTGAAAGCCTCTATCTCCATAGATTACTGGACACAGACTGAAAGCCTCTATCTCCATAGATTACTGGACACAGACTGAAAGCCTCTATCTCCATAGATTACTGGACACAGACTGAAAGCCTCTATCTCCATAGATTACTGGACACAGACTGAAAGCCTCTATCTCCATAGATTACTGGACACAGACAGAAAGCCTCTATCTCCATAGATTACTGGACACAGACTGAAAGCCTCTATCTCCATAGATTATTGGACACAGACTGAAAGCCTCTATATCCATATCAATATATATATATATATATATATATATATATATATATATATATATATATATACAATGAGTAAATTTACATCCTCAGGTACAATAGCTATATAGAGTCCAAAAATAAGAATCGTGCAAACATTGAAATTAAATATTTAAAAAAAATTACAGTGTTCATCAAGCAATATTTCGAAGTGGTAAACATTATCTGCATCGATGATATGTTGCGGTAAATGATTCCATGTATCTTCTATTCTATGACCAGGGACATATTATACGTCCCTGCTATGACTAACGAAATTCTTTTTATATATCCTTGTTACAGCGGGTTTTTTAAAAATATTTTCTGAATGACCCCTTGATTTGACGTGTCCATCTCAAAAAAAAAAAGTTTTCTGTCACTTTATAATCATAAACATGTTTAACTATTTTAAAAACATTTATGGTATCTCCTCTGATTCTGCGATGTTGAAGTGTTTGGAGCTTTAATCCTCAAGCGTTCTTCGTATGATAAGTTCTTTAAATGAGAGTCTAACTCTATATTGTAATCTTCCGAGTTAAGTATCAGTTGAAACTGTAAGCCTATAGCTTCAGTGGACGTAAAACCCGTTAAATAAAATAAATATACATGTAGCTATTGTACATTGTTGTATAGAATTTGATCGAACTTTCTGAACACTTGCATCGCTTCATCCTGTTTCTGTGCATTCTTATGAGTCCTGTCAAATCTAAATACCACTTGACTTAGATGTAGATGATTTATGTTCATTTAAATAGGAGACCTGCAAATAATCGATTTTATTTTCCAGCGTACCGTATCAATGTACATGCATCTTTAAGAGATTTTTATTCATTTCGGAGCATTTTGACTTTTATATAACATTCCATATCAACCGCTCTCCTGCTATTTCTTACCTATGCATCCGAGAACCTCGAAGGCAAAAGGAAAATGGCGGCAGTTGACAGTTTCGAATATCTCTTTCGAGAAATATCCTCGGTTTGTCGGTCAACTAGGGATGCTCTTGCTTTAATCGGTGCCTTGTACGCCTCACGGAAAACATTACAGTTAATGTCATGTGTATTAAAGGCGGGACACGACCACTTCCTTAGTAAATTGTCGAGATGGAGTGATCTGAAGAAGCGTTTTGGTCAATGGGCAGGTATGGTGTGTTTAACGGTACGATATTACGTTAGCATCGATTTTATGTTGAATACGAAACATAAAGTGCTGTTCGCTGCATAAATACTTTTCAGTCATGTAATTGATCAAACAATTCAACCGATACTCTGATAGGTCATGCTCAGGATTGGGCTCTGGTGTAGGACATGAAACTGCCTAACAAGAAAGACGGAAGAAAATGCTTGCATTGAATGTTCAATGTAAAATATTTGAGGAAGAATTGACATTTCTCGTCACACTATTGCCAGAGAAGACTTTAAGGGTATATTTAAGGTGTTTTCCTCTCAGTAATCCCTCACTTGTTCATTGGCAGTGTTCAGCACCAAGAAGAGATGAAGGACCTACAATGTACAATATATGTATGTTCTGAGCACCATCATATTGGGAGATCGATCCTAATGATTGTTGCAACAGGAGTTCATATAGTTTCGACATCACTCACTGTTTATCTTGTAACAGTTTTTATTTCTTGGCAAAGTCTAAAGAAGGGATAAGAATTTTTGTTGCAGTGTTCAGTGTCATGCCAAAGGTATGATTGCTTGTTTGGATTTGTTCGAGATATTTTGCATCGTATGAAGGTATATAGTTGAAGCGACTGATCATGAGGGTTGTACCTGTAGGCCTTTCAAATAGATGACATGGCCAGCATAGAACTGCCTTCATTGTAAGAAAAAAGAAGGCATTCTACTAGTGCTAATTGCATTCTTAGTAAAATGGTATGTGTCAAGTTGGTAAGTCATTGTGCAACAGGGCATAACACAACTATACATTATATAGTAGTAGACTATACTTGATCCAACTCATATCCAGATGTGTTTGACACTATCATAGTTATATTGTAGATTACACTTGCTATTGATGGCAAACAAATGTGTGTTATCCTGGCAGTAAGGCCATGACTTGTTTTAGTTATACATTTACATACCATTCCAGTATATAATGATAACTTGGATTTCTTCAATACAACTTGATCAAAGCAACATCACTGTCTTAATCCAGCTCATATGTTGTTATCTATGGTTATCGCTACAGGCCATTTGGATATTTCTGAACTCCCAGGGGAGCATATAAGGCCTAGTACACAACATGTCCAGCCTTAAAGTTTATTCATCTTGAATGAAACAGACTAAAGTAACTTGTTCAAGGATACAACATGGCTCTCATGCTTTAAGTCAAACTAAAGTGTCTTTCCATTCATCAACTCAGCATCTTACTACTGGACCTCTTATACCATCATGAGTAATCTCCCTTTCTGTTGTGGTAGTGGTGACAGGAAGCAGTGAGGGAATAGGACGAGCATATGCAAGAGAATTAGCCAGCCGTGGCCTTAACATTGTCCTGATCAGCAAAAAAGAAAATCGTCTTTACAGGACAGCCAAGGATATAGGTATTGTCAAGATTGTAACATATATATATACCTGTGGATGTAATAGATGTATGTTGCTGATTTGTTTTGGCAGTAAAGTGAAGTTCTATAAATTTCTATTGATGTCACTATTGACCATTTAATGCAAAATGTAGTAATAAAAAACATATGTACATCAGGGAGACAATTCAGTATAATTTTAATTGTGTTGTCCCTTTCAACTTACTTGTATAGTTGTGTGTTGTACTTTTACAAATTCCTGTATCAGACAGATTCGACCAGACAGTACTGTTCATGTTGCATTCTACTTTTCTTTTTTACAGAGGAAAAATATGGTGTAAAAACCTGTAGTATAGGCATCAACTTTAATGAAGGACGAGAAATTTACCACGAAATCTGGGAAGAAATCAAAGATAAAGAAATAGGAATTCTAGGTTTGTTACACTTGTACAGCTTGTTGTTGTCATTTATCATGTGATGTTGAATTAACATCATGTATATCTGAAATATTCAAATGAACTTCATTTCAAGTTAATATGAAAATAAATCTCCCAAGATAACTTCTTCTCATTAACATATAACCAATACGTTGAATGTTCATGATGTAAATTGTTACATGTATAAGTGAAAAGCATTGAACACCAGGTAAGCAATGTAGGCCCATGGGGCCTCTTGTAGTTATTACTAAGTTTTGATTAGCCAATGGTTCCCATTGTTTCATTGTGAGATAGTAATCTCAGGTCTTCACAATGAAAAAATATGTCATCACCAAAGAAAGAGATATAGAATGAAAATATCACCAAATAAAATTTAAATACGCTATCTTGTAATCAGATAAAATCAGAGTTTGTATCAGTCTTAAACAATGCTATTTCTCAAGAATATTTGCAAAAGTTTCTATGTGACATGATAAACAGAATTTCACATTCATTTCCATTTTATGTGAAATCTATAAAGCTCCTCATGAATTCTTCACTTTACCTTGCCAAAACCTTAGTAATCTCGTACGAATGGAAACTAAAGAAACCTTGTTTATCACATGGTTAAGGTTTCTGGTTTTTTCCCCAATCTCTCTTACACCAGTCCATTACTTTATTTTCAGTAAATATGTTAGATTTCAGATACATGTAATGAATCCTTGATACAGGTAAAAAAAATGTTAGATATCATAAACATAGTTATGTAATTATGAGAATAACAAATTGATATGATTATTCTGTGACAGTCCACACATGGAATTTATCATACTGCTAAACAACATGTCTTTGATCATTGTTACTTATATACGAGAACAACTTCCAATAAGTATTTCATTTGTTATTTTATTCTCAACATAACATAAATCCGCAACATGAAAATATCAATATTCCCTAAGAACAAAAGTGTCCATGCAATCCAATTGAGGGACACTTTAAAGTTTCATTTTATATAAACAATATCACATAAATTTGTGATCAATCATTTCATAAGATTTTTCTTCATAATGAAACAAGGAATTACTGATATAACTCTATATATTTCAATTACTACTAAAGTTGGACTTAATGAAACTTCCAAGTTTAGCCTGTTTTATTTGTCCATATATTTGACCAGATTGACATTGATCTGGATGTATGAATACATCCTTTACAGTTTCTGTTAGGGGAGAGAACCCTTACAAATATTTGATACTAAACTTTAAATCAAAGTATTAAAATCTGCTCCAGATTTGCAGAATATAACAAAAAGAAATGATATATATAATTATTAAAAATGTAAAAATTCAAGATGAATTGCAAAGAATTTGTCTCAAGGGCAAGTCAAATCATCACCCCATGAAGTCGATAAAAGCAAGATACAATGCTTAAATGTACTTAATTTGGTGCAAACATTATTAGTTTTGTCAAAAAGACACGATGATAGCTTAGTACATCTATGATGATTGATACAGAAACAGCATGCAGGAACTTTGATTTAGTGCAATAAGTTTATCGCTAAAATGTTTACCTTTTCAGTACATTATTCTGGCTTTCCTGAGATTTAAAAATTTGTTGACCTCAATATTTGGTTAATTTATATATAAAATGTAAATATAAGCATTGGATTGTGAGAGGGATATGATTATATATCTGTCTACCAAATTGTAATCTTATTGTCTGTATGGTACCATTTTGAAACAGTATTTTGCTCAAATATCTTCTTATGTATGTTAACATATTGACAGTTATATATAGATAATTGCACCTCATGCTGTACTTAAATGAAAATGTGATTTTACTTTTGTTTACAGTCAATAATGTTGGAGTGACGTATGATTACCCACAGCCATTTCTGGAGGTTCCAACAGAGGTATTGAAAAACTTTATTATTACATCAACATTCAAATACGGCATAAAAATTAATATGATATAATACTTAGTGTAATAGAATGATAAGAATAATTATGATATTATTAGTTTCAAAATGGCTGATTTTCTGTAGATAGTACAGTACAAAGGTGTAAATCCTGGTCAGTTCATGGCATATGATAACATACTGGTCAAGTCTGAGAATTCCCAAACTCTGTCAACAGTGAAAACAGCTGCTGAAACCAAATCCAATGTTGTGAAGTTAGACACAAAACCAGATTTGATTGACAAATTCTCATATTTTAAAATGACATTTTTGATATTTTAGATGTTGTGGCAGTTAATCAATGTGAATGTAGCAACAGCAACTATGGTAAGTATTGTATTAGTTTTTGGCCCACTTTAATTTATAAATCTATATATTTGATAACTTTTATTGGTGCATTCATTACTGTGTTTAAACACTGAAAGTTAAAAAGACACATGGTAGTTTGTTAGATTGGAAAAATCCTGAGGTACTGAATGTCAAGCAGCCACTTAGTAGAGAATGGTAAATAGTGGGTGTACTGGGGCAGTGAAGGTCACACAAAATCACTCATTAGAGAAGGGGTAGACAAAAGGTGTACTTGGCACTGAAGATCACAAAAGGTCATTCAATATAGAATGGGTAGGTGGAGGGTGTGCTGAGGTATAAGAAATACATTTGTAGGAATTTAGCTAAGGTAGAGACTACATATAACTGTGACCTTGCAATGTGTAAGTAAACATTTGTAGATAAAATGTACAAAACAAAGTTAGAATCTGAGCATTACATGTAGATAATTTTGTTTCTGATTCAAAATTTATGTCCTCTTTTAATGCTGGTGCTACCAAAACTGTATCCTCAGTCATAAAACATGCAAGTCTACTTGAAAGCATAATATGATTGAGAATTAATTCTCAGACAGATTTAATAGTCCGTTGTTTCCAGCTGGTATACAAGGATCATAAAGCTTTTTTACTTCTGACAGTTATCTTTGTATTTTATTACAGATGACCCATATGATTTTGCCACAGATGGTTCAAAGGTAAATTTCTAAAGTGGAATTAAAAAACGCAGTCAAAAGGATTAAGAGAGCTACATCCTGCTATATGCAGTATGAATACATACACCAATGACCGATGTTCAGTAGAAGTGACAATGTAGCTAGTATATGTTTTATTTTTAACTGTTTCTGTGGTTAAAATTAAACCACAAAAAACAAGATACACTATTTCTTGAAAGTAAGATTAATGAATGAAATGAATGAATGAAAGTCAATTTCATAACTGATTTTGTAATATTTTCTTCAGGTTGGTAACGTAAACAGAATAGAAATTCTTATAACAGAACCAGTAGAAGATTGGTCATTTGTCTGATGTTAAGGTGACTGTTTAGTCACGGAAACATCACACTCTAATATTCTGCTGGTTGTGTTAAAAGAACTTCTGTTCTGTTCATGACTTATGTGAAATAGAAATTCTCCTTACTTCAAGTTTTTTTTATAAAACCTCAAAAATTTAAATAGTTACTTAATTATTATAAAAACACAGCTTTTTAACCAACAAACCATAGTTACATAATGATAAATGTAGCAATTTTTTCTGGTGATTTTTTCTGTGAGTAGGACTTTGTCTGTTGAAAAGACCTGGTGATTTTGTCTGTCAGCGGAACCTGGTGATATTGTCTAATTGTAGGTAGAACCTTTGTTCAAATGTTACTTTTGTATACCTGTAAGACCTTGGGATTTTGTCTTACTGTCAGTAAGACCTTAGGATTTTGTCTTACTCTCAGTAAGACCTTCGGATTTTGTCTAACTGTCAGTAAGACCTTGTAATTTTGTCTTACTCTCAGTAAGACCTTGGGATTTTGTTTTAATGTCAGTAAGACCTTGGGTTTATGTCATACTCTCAGTAAGACCTTTGGATTTTGTCTTACTGTCAGTAAGACCTTGTGATTTTGTCTTACTCTCAGTAAGACCTTGGGATTTTGTTTTACTGTCAGTAAGACCTTGGGATTATGTCGTACTCTCAGTAAGACCTTGGAATTCCGTCTTACTCTCAGTAAGACCTTGTAATTTTGTCTTACTCTCAGTAAGACCTTGGAATTCTGTCTTACTCTCAGTACGACCTTTGGATTTTGTCTTGCTCTCAGTAAGACCTTGGGATTTTGTCTGTCCTTTGACCTGGTGATCATATGATATTGTCTAACTGTAGGTAGGACCTATCCATAAAACTTTTGTCTATCAGTAAAACCTGGTTTGATTCCTATACCACTATCTAAAATTCTTGAGTAATTAGTTTTTAAAAAAAAAATGCTAAGGTAATGATTTTTCATACTTGTGTATGTCATATTTATATGAAATCTTGTTTCAGATGTAAAGGTGCTGTGGTGATGGTATCAGCTGGCTCCTGTGATAAAATTACTCCATTGACAACTGTATATTCTGCTACCAAGGTACTTAGGCTGTAATAAATAATTCCATAGACAAAAGTCAAATCCAGCTGCTGCTGAGGTAATCAGGCTCTGATCAAAGTTTCTTCAATGACAAACAATTCATTTGCTGCCAAGGTAACTTGGCAAGACACACCTTCAATAGGTGAATTTACACAATAATTAACTGATTTTGCCACGATTTCTTAGGAAATAATTAGGTGAGAAACGAAGTCTGAAGGAGCAAATTTTTATATAGTATCATTCACAGTGCTATGAACCTTTGTAAATAACAACCTGAAAGATTAGAATTGATGACTAGAAATCCTTTACTACAGAGTTGTGAAGGTTTGATAAAGCTAATAATAGTGACTATTATGATATTAGTTGAAGGCTACACAGAATCAGGATTCTATCATTGTGATTTTTCTGTGCCACAGAGTTTCCTGGACTACTTTGCCCGGGCTATACACTATGAGTATAAGGACCATGGGATCATCGTCCAGTCATTGATGCCTTTCTACGTCGCCACCAGGATGACACGGTTTAGTGAAACCCTGTCTCGACCCAGCGTCATGATCCCATCAGCTACTGATTATGCTCGTCATGCTATTGCCACGCTAGGATACACAAGTCGCACAACTGGATACTTACCTCATACAATACAGGTAATATAGTGACACAAGTCGCACAACTGGATACTTACCTCATACAATACAGGTAATAGAGTGACACAAGTCACATGACTATATACTGGCCCCATACATTACAGGTAATAGAGTGACCTCAGTCACATGACTGGATATTGACCCCATACATTACAGGTAATATAGTGACACAAGTCACATGATTGGTAATGACCCCATACATTACAGGTAATAGAGTGAACCCAGTCACATGACTGGATACTGGCCCCATACATTACAGGTGATATAGTAACACAAGTCACATGACTGGATACTGACCCCATACATTACAGGTGAGATAGTGACCCCAGTCACATGACTGGATACTGTCCCCATATATTACAGGTAAGATAGTGACACCAATCACACTGGCTATCAATGACATTTGTTTTTTTCCATTTGTGTAATGTATTTCAAAGCTAGTATCAGTATGCTGGTCTGTAATATCTCAGTCAGTAGAACATCGGCCTGTGTAACCTTAGCTGAAGGTCAGAGGTGACAATTTGTGTATCTCATGAAAACAGAATAAATCTGTGATGTCATCATTTTTTCCTTTGGAAAGACACTCCATCCTTAATGCTCTGGATGGCATGCAATGGGTCTCCTGTATGTTGTTCACTGAGATAAGGAACCGCTTCTTCAAGGAGTCTCCACCTCAAAATGGCCTTGGTTGTTCAGAACAAACAATAACAGTACTATTCAGCATGTATGTAGTGTGTTTCTGGACTGGTATCAGTACATGTATGTGTAATTAATGTGATGTGTTTCAGAGCTGGATCATCCACTGTATTCCAGACAGTCTGTGGATGTGGGGTGCCACCAGACTTAACTATGCTTTCAAACGACAAACTGATGAACGCATCAAACGTCGTTCTCTACGACTAATGCACAGTGACCAGTCTCAGGAATCTGACTCCTGACAAAGCATCAATGTTATTTAGGACAAGCATTTTTTTCTAAAGATTTAAGATGAAAGTACAAACATGTTGTGTAAGATCTGTAGTACTTGGACAATCTTAAAGTGCTGATGATTTAGATATGAGATAGTTGCTTTTGCAGCACTGATTTTTCAAATTATTCATCATATTAAAGGTTTATTTAGGTCTAGTAACAAAACTTTCCTTGATGAAACCAATCTGTAGGCTTCAAAACACAATAAAATATCTTATATATTTAACTTTTCTTACAAACTTAACTGTATAAAGAAATCTTTGTACTGCACACAAAAACAACTTCAATTAGTGATGCCGTGTTAGTTTTGAGTGATGATTTAATGTAATTGGGACTTCAGCAAATTTTCTGTTGTCTTTTATACATAATATTTATGTGTGCTTCCCTTGTATTCTTGCTATTTTCCATTACTGCCAAACAATGTAAACTTCTACTAACTATCATCCATCAGTTATATAATGCTTTTAGACATATCCATTTAATCTAATGTGGTAACATCTCATCCATTGTACAATCAAACTAAATTATGCATATATTTTACATTTTATCAGAATCTCCAAAGTGATAATTTTGCATGAAACATCCATGGCCATTATTATACCGAGATGGCTAATTCTGTGGTCAGTCCGAGGTCAAACTGGCTTAAAATTGAGCCAAGTTTTCAGACACAGACCAATAAAATCACTTTCTTATTAGAAGGAAAGGTCCTAAAGTGATCACATTTATCAAACTGAATTTAGTTACTCAAGACCTGATTTCTCACTTATATAAATATAAATTCAGAATATAATTATTTTGTTACTTAGTCAGTTCTAAGTTGGAGATAATTCAAGTTACAAAAATAAATCACCATTATCTCATAGTTGCATGGTTCAAGTAATCACATTGACTAATTTCAATCAACTGTAATTACTTATTTTCCTTGTGATAGGGTTTGAATGGTACGATAAATGCTGACGTGTTTTATATATATATATATATAGATCATGTCAACCAACTTATCTTCATTATCAAAATATGATAATTCAATATAAAGTAATACTTTTGTAAATAATGTAATTATATAATTAACCAACATTCCTCCTGCAGAACATAAATGTTTCAACAGCTAATGGCATAGTTTCATTGCAAGATAACATTTTTATCTTATTTATGACCGCTTAGCAAGTTTGTTGTGTTAGTTAAGCCGTAATTTATTTTTTTTTGTGTACTTATCGTTAACAACTCAAAGCTTGTTGACCAGAAGCGGGTCAGTCTAAATGAGATATCAGTAGTTTCATTATAAGATATCTCCATGGGCCATTACTGTACCTGGTGTGACTGTGGTGATATTAACAATACATTTATACCTGTCATGTTTTTAAAACAATTTCATTTAAATTTATGTATATTTTATTTGATTTACTTTTTATTACACCAGGTCTTTCAATCTTCATTTTTAGCCATCTTGTTTTCTGCTCATCTAGAGTCTAAAGTGTCACATGGTTTTGTTTTCGTATTCAACACATCTAAAACATTTAGTCTGGGTGCATGTAATGTACCCATATCATCTTTTAAAGTGAAATATGAAAAATTGTTCTGAGTTTTAGTACCTCATTATTGATTGAAATATTTCTGTGTGATGACTGAATGGTTGTGATGATGAATGAAACAAAATGTACATGTACTGAATATGTTTGTTCGTCCTTGCTAACTTTCTCTATTTAAGAGAGAGTGTTCAAGTTTTGGTCCAAATTTTAGACATAAATGATCTGGTCATCTTCTTAATTAATAATTTCAAAAATCCAATTAGTCTAAATGAACGAATTATATTTGTGTGTTTAATACATTAGTTTGTCAAAACCAGATATAAAATTAATATTTCTGAGGCTTATAACGTTTTATAGTTTCAATCTCCCCATAGGACTAACAAATAGCTAACAAACACCAGATTTTTGATCGTCCTTATCAGACAAGTCGATGACAGAACTGTTGTTTTCAGCTAAACATGCTTCCCCAGAGTCAACAACACTAAATTAACATTGTCAGATTTATGTATCAAATGTATTAAAGTAGAGGCTTGAACATTGATGAATAAACTTTTCAATTGATATTGATGTTTATATTTTTTGTTATCATACAAATAGTATTTATGTAAAGAGGTGTTGTGAGCATATGCCTTGGTGTACTGTCAACATGATTTTTTTTTCTAAATATTTTTTCTGCATAACCAAGGGACCATCGGTCATATTTTGTCCCCGACATTCGAAGGAATGGGGGTATCTCCTTCACCAGTTTTCAAGTTCAGATGTGTTAAAATCTGTAAACCATTTGACTAAAGAGATCAAAGATCGATTTCAGATCAAGATATCAAAGGATACAAAATCTTCTATATGACCATGTTAATTTTCTTCAATCTTCCATGTAGACCCTCTGAATGTTTCCAGTAAGGCCAATAACAGAGCTGAAGGTGTGGCAACTAATTTTGTATGTTTACACTTCTTGTTTTAAGTGTAGTAAATAATGTTAACCTTAATTAAGAGGTCCGGGGTCTTGATATTTGTCTTTGCTAGACTAATTAGGATCTTGACTCCCTTTGAAAGCTGCTAGAACATCATGAGCTCAAATCTGTAGAGGATTTCATTATCTATCATCTTACAGCCTTGGTGTTGATACTGGCCACACACTGAAGGGTTCAGCAATCAGCCCAGGATGTCAGTATAACGTGTAGATAACATGACGAGGACTTAAACATACAGGAAAAGACATTTCCTTCAATAATACACTCACACTTCTAAAACAAATCAAGATTTGACCTTGATTGTCACCTTCTGTCCAATCCTCTAAAATGACTGAAGCTATTATAATAGATATACATGGAGAGTACAAAAATATTAGCAGTATTTTTGTGAGGATGATGGAGAGTCAAATATGCAAGCCAATAAGCCTATGGCTGATCATAAGCCCCACGATCATCACACAAAAGAAACAAGGATGTATCATTGTACACTTCCCTACACAGAATTGGTGTGTTTATTGTTCTCTTGGCTTGCAGGATTAATACATTATTCAATCACTAAGGCATCAATTAACCATCACAAATTAACTGTTGATGAAACAAAACAGTTTCAATCCAATTCCAAAGACGTTTTGAGTGACTGTCACATCAACTTTCACTAGTAAGGGTTCATCATGCATTTGCAGAAAGTAAAACAGGAAAAATGTAGTTAAACAATTTTCTTTTAATTTAATCTTAATTCTTTACATGGATTTCAACTTCTTGCTTTGAAGATAATTAATTAACCTGTTAATTGCTTGTTACAATTTGTAATCAATTCTAATATTTCCAAATATTTCTGAATATTAATATTGTTAGTTTTGCATATCAATATTACATTTCAACTGATAGTGTAAACAAAACAGGACAACAGGTAATTTCATCGTCAAATGATCCCTTGTAAACTCGCTAAAGGTCATGTTATTGTAACTTTAGAAAAATAATTGACAAATTCCGAAGTAAATGTGCTACCAAATACAGCAACCACTCGTTGTGTAACCTCTATATATAAAACAAAAGCTGTACAAATCAAAGCAAGGCATTCTTTCACACTTGATTTATTTCCATAAGCCGATTTGTTATCCTATAGAACACCATTACAAATTTCATTACCTTGATACACGTACAAATGTATATCACAACAAACATACATTAATAAAGAACATGTTAATTTTATAATCAATTATCTCCAATTTGTTTCAGGAATTGCAGGTCAGGATAAATCTACCCTGATGGGAATGTGTTATACATCAGTCGTACTCTGTTTATACCGTGTAACCCTCTAAAGTAACACAGGATTAACCACAACATCTCAATCACCATTTATATTACTTAAACACAATAACACAATCAACAAGAAGGGAAATATTCTCCACAATTTGATGAAATGACCATTCAATGATGTATCTGACTGTAAGTAAAAAATGTACATATTTCACAAATATTACAACAAGGCTTGACATTATTAATTAGATTAATAGGTAACAACACTTTAAAGCATAATTCATAATTTGTTCAGTTGTGTCATGATGTTTGATATGCATTCAATCATTCCTCAGACAGACATTTCAGGCATTCAAAGATCTATAGCCCTAGTGGCAGTTAAGTCTTCAAAACAGCATGTGTAGATAAAAGGATGAGGTCACAACAATTACAAATTAGAAAGAATAATGGAATTTATTTATCATTTTTGTGTTCAGATTTTGAAATTACTAATGATACAAGAATCAATACCTACATGTAACCATTATGATGGTGAAGAAATATTCTGGATTTTGGCTCATTCATATAAACCCTAGTTTATATATGGTTTGTTAACCAGGTGTATTTCAAACATAAATCTGCTTTAACACCGAAATTCCCCCTCAGATTGAATTTTGATTTAGAGAATAAAAAATATTACCAGCCCAACAAATTTACATTTCATATTATCTTGTTTTAAAGACATTACTTTAAAACTACATAAAGTATACTGTCAAAGTGGTAATGTGGGAAAAACTTACAAATCAATGCCAATTATAACCTAGTACTGACAGCATATACAACTGTTGGCTATGTCTGGTTGGAATGTGAAAATACATAGACATTGTTACAGTCTGTTAGGAAACTATACAAAGTAAACATGAAGAGATTTCTGATATCAGTAATACCTAGTAATGAAAAGGCAGATGCTAATAAATTTGAAATTATCTAGCTGTACCCAAACATTTCAACTGATTGTCAATATAATGCTGATGAAGCAAGAGGTCCCACCCCTTCCAACTCAGGTAGCGGAGACCCTGCGTTTATACAAAATTTGTTCTCCAAGGATGCTTCTGACCTAATTGTGTAAAAATGACCAGAAGTGATTTGTAAAAAAAGTTGACTGATGGGCGTGGACGACGCAAGTTCATTGGTTCTTCAGACCAAGTGAGCTAAACACAAGTTGACTGGAATTCTTCAAATTCTTCACAAGATCCTGAGACTTTGTTATCCTGAACAGTGCTTTTTTTATTCTAATCTATGTATTATACAAATTATCATATAAAAGAGAAAATGTGATATAAACACAAATACTTTCTAATATTTCCACAAATTTTTTCAAAACTTGCACAATATTGCATACCCTTTTTGACATGGATAATTTGTAATCTGATTAAGCATTAGGAAGTATTAGTCTGTTCCAACTACCTACAACTCTGTTAATACATAACATTTCTCCACAACATCAATACTGTTCATAATTTTGTAGACTTGAACAATGTCTGCTTGCTTCCTTCTATATTACAGTACTGGTATACTGCCCATTTCTGATATACATTCAGTCAGAGTCTGTACTATGTATGAGGAATGACATCTGTACTGGTTGATTTCCAGTTTTTGATTGACGTTCAGTCTGAGTCTGTACTGTATCAATTACAAATTAATATTTTTATTTCTGCACATCCATTGATTGATAACAAGTCATTTATGATTCATGTCGGAGATTTAAGTCAAAGTATGACTAGTCCTAATTAAAATTTTAAGATTACTGAAGAAAAATTTACAACAGTTTCTGACAGGAAAAATTTACATGTAATACAGTGCAATTAGTTAGTTGACAACAATATTTAGAGACTGCAGTCTACTTCAGAGGCTCGTCAGTGTAAATGTAAATACTGTTACTTAGATCCCTTTCAATCACTTCTGGTATCTAAATCCAGATTTGTGATCTCGTGAGCAGGTTTAACGAGGACAAATTCACGTTGAGTACATAACACTAGGCCTCAATGATTCCAAAACACTGGACAAATAAGAGCAAATAAATGAATGTGTTAATAAGTTGCAGTGCTAGTAAAAAATACTGATTAATAAATAACTAGTTTTTGAACACCAATTACAAAGAACCCAGCAAGTACTGGTCATGGTCCCATGTGAGATATAAAAAAATTACTATAATAATTGATTACATTGTTTCATGCACAAAATGTAAATGATTACAAAAATAAAATATGAAAAAATTCAAGTGTTGCTTAATTAGTTACATAACAATATTGAAGCCTCTTTGCTTTCTTTCTCTATTCTTTCTTTTGCTGAGCAATCTTCTTAAAGGCTTGGACTCTGGCGGTGTTCAAGATCTTGAAGGACATCAATGAAGTAAACCATAATGGTAAGGCATTGGTGATATAGCCCTGTCAACAAACCAACATACAATAGTTCTGACACATATATGATTGTGTTGGGGAGTTCTGTTACTCAAATGATCTAATTTACATGTGTAAGATATTAATTGTTCTAGAAAAGACACTTATTTTAAGAGTAGAATGTTTCTACAACTGGATTCACTGAATGCTGTAAAATCGTGCATCTTTGTGGGCCTTTATTTTTGTGTTAAATAAGAAGAAATGACTTCCACAAAATGATATATCATATTATTTTTTCATGTCATCATGACACAAATAATGGCCATACTGAGTCGCTAAATGCTAGAATTTACAAGAGAGATATCAAATCCAGTAGCAATTCTGATATTCTGATTGGTGTCTTTTACAGATAAACAAGATTACCAGTAGATTATGGCTCCAGAAACCATTGGTACGGTTTGTCACACCGATGAGACTCAGGGCTGATCTAACAAAGGTGTCTGGGTTAGGAACCATCAAACTAGCCTTTCTTATCTTACTCATCTTGGTTGTCACAAAGTTTGGCATCACCGACTGGAAAAAAACATAACAAGAACTGTAAATATGAGAATATTTGAAAACACCTGTCAAGACCTCTATACAAAACTCCAACATGTAAAAGTAAAAAACAATAACTGTTGAAAACTAGAACTTGAAATGCTCAAAAACATGGCAAAAATTTTTAAAATAATAATCATTTGTTCAATTTGGCTTAATAGTGTAACTACATCATATAATATATAATAGTATCTATTTAAAAAATCAGCATTCTAAATCCATTATCAACTACATGACAACACACTAAGGAGAGATACATGCAAAAACTAAACACTGGAAAAATGACCTATTCCCAAATAAACACCAAAAATTAGCCTTTGGTAAAACAAAGAAAAACCTGTATCACACATTTTATGGTACTGGTCAATAAAGGTGTTAACCAAATTTCAAGTCTATTGGATGCTCTGAAAATAGCTATTTCTAAAAAAAACACTTGCTTCACAATAGTGTAATATAAAGTTAAATCTTTATATGGATGTCCCATTCACAGTCCATGTATATATATTATAGTGACACAGGGTGTAACTCCCGAGACGGCAAAACTAAACCAATTTTTTGTTCAATGATGATTTTTGATATTCTAGGGTCTGCAGATCTTAGTAACACAAGCATTGCCTTGAAGAGAAATGTTTTATCTTTCCACGTATGGTTTTATTTCAAGTTTATTATGTGACAGGTTCATAACAGGCAAGATGTGCAAAAGAAAAAAATTTTTCAAGAGTCATGAAAGTTCGTTAAAAAATACTGTCTAATTTGCAAGGCTAGCAGTACTCTAAATGAATTTTCATTGGCTAGAATGTACATACATTCAGCCAATTACAATACAACACTCGATTCATGTGTTGCATCAGCACTGAGTCATGATAATGGGCTAATGAAATGTATTGAAAGTAGGCTATTAATTTAATTTGAAAGTATGAGTATTTATAAAAAAGTGAATTAAATACATCTTAAAAAAATCGAAGTTGAATGCACTTCCAGCATCAATTTCAATCTCTAGACTATTGAAGAGAGTGGCAAGACTTATAGACAGCAGACAGCATATACAATGTATATTACCTGGACAATGATGCCTTTGGAACCATATTCCTTATCCATACACACGGAGAAGTAGTCCACGTATGCCTAAAAATGTAATCAATGGATAATATATTCATACGCCTGCGTATACCTAGAAAAGTAGTCCATGTACGCCTAAAAATGTTATCAATGGATAATATATTCATACGCCTGAGTACACCTAGAAAAGTAGTCCATGTACGCCTAAAAATGTTATCAATGGATAATATATTCATACGCCTGAGTACACATAGAAAAGTAGTCCACATAAGCATGAAAGTGTTATCATTAGACAATAAATTGATCCTGTGAATTCACACGCTGAGGTAATCAAATTATACCAGAAAGTGTTATCATAACACTATTATTTACTTTACTAGCTTCATGTGATCAAATAACTTTTAAAAATTGAGGTTTTTGTTTCTGAAAATGTAAAAGACTTCATTAAATATGGTTCACCTACTATAGGTTTGATATGTTTATTAAATAAATCACATCAAATAAAACAATCAAACATCAGAGGAAAACAGTCCCTTTAGAAATTTCCGTACGACATAAGTGATTATATCAGGCTTAATACAAGGAGTGATATGGCCATAACACCATACACAATACTACATCTAGATTTTAAAAGGAACATATTGGTAAAATTTTATTAGAGACATGTTCTTCAGAATCTATGACCCCTCTGTATATCCATAAGATAAGGACAAGATCCTGATTGTTGATGCACATTGACTTCCTACATGATTGGATTTTGTAAAACAGATTAATTATAAATACCTTAGCAGCAGCATACACTCCCAAGAGGGGCGTGGGTTTCATCCCAGAAGCAGACGACAAATTGACAATAACTCCCTTCTTCTTAGTCACCATCTGTGGCATCACAATACTTGTCATCTATTAAAAAGAAATTCTGTGTTAAGTTCAATTAATACCACAACAATTATAAAAGTACATTCTTCTGTAGATATTTTCTGTTCTTTAATCCTGTTCTGAGATAATAAAACTCTATTTCTCAAGAGGACCTGAAGATTTTCATATCTATATCAATCTAACTCTCAAAAATTTGTTAGCTGTCAATACCTTCAGTCTTCATTAAATGTGTGTTAATTGATAATAAAACTCACTTGTAATATCATTATTCTATGTGTTGAAAGTTTGTCACAAAGTTTTTAACGGGATGTTGACTGAATGAACCATCAAGGTGATGGACTGTATTGTAACACTACCAAAAGATCTTTATCCTTTTAATTTCAACTCTTGAATACCTTTTGGAATATGAAATTTCCCCAGATAAGAGATAACATCTTTCCTCTTTATTCCACTGTCATATTGTCTATTCACTGAGGAATAATGTATCAACTATCTAAATTTCCTTGTTTCAAATTATCCGTTCTATACATCAGAAATAATGCTAACAAAATAAAAAATAACATGTGATTGGCCTGACTAAAAGTAGATGAAAGTTTGGATTTGGATCTAATTCGAAAGGCTGCTGTTAATTTCTAAGACAACTAAATGTATCTAGTTTATGCAACCTAGTAACTAGTCAGAAATATCATAAATTTACAGTTTGTATTGTGTATTGGTCATTATAGCATGCTCTCATGAATAGGATTAAGGGTTTGTTGTTTCTGGAGTTTTATGTTACTGGCTGTTGTTGATCTAGGTTTTATATGTTGATGATTTCTGAAATTTCACAAACAAATCATTTTACTTACCATTGTCACTGAGGTGATATTAACGTTAATTAAGTCAACAAATTTCTGAAATATAAAATTGGAAAAACAAATAAGTCAATTAGTCAGGATACAATATAGACTAAAATTATCAATGATCCAAAGAACTAACGAGAAACAAAGTGAAATCCTAAAGTCAGGTTACTTTACAGCTGGGTCCTATAGGTACAGTTGGATTGTACCTGTGTTTATGGTATCTCGTTGTTTGTAATTAGTGAATACTTTAATGACTTCTGTAAAGATAACATTTTACCTTGTCTCTGTCTGGGACCTCATGCAGAAATGCTGGGAAGTCATAGCCTAGCCCCACATTGTTAACTGGAATAAAATATATCAGAGATAGCAGAGTGGCACAAGTTTTGTCCAGTATTACCAAATAGTGTCTTCACATATTAGTAATGTGTCTGGTTTCAGGGCTCTCACACCCCATTTTGGGACTGGGGCCCGAGGCCACTAGAATTGGGAAAAATAATGGTGTTTTCCTTAGAATTTGGAAAACTTGGGGTCTAAATTGGGAAAAAAGATACTATTTTGCATTGGGAATGGGGCCGAATATCGGCCCCAAATCTGGCAGATCGAGAGCCCTGGGTTTCCACATTTTTTTTAATAAAATAGGAATACTTAACAGACAGATAAAATTCAACACATTACCAAACATAATAGGTATAATACTTACATATGTAAGATTGTATATTGAAAGCTGTAAACTCACGTTTCACATTGAAATATAACCATAGAAATACAAATTCACAATAAAAATGTTCACACTGGACTGACAACCATGTTAACATTATTAATTAAATGTTCAGTCCTTAACAAAAGAGAAATTGTAACTTACTCAGAACTCCTATGTCAAGTCCCTCTAAAGATTTACTTATATCAGGGTAGATCGCAGCTCCCTGGGAAAAGTCTGCTACTATGATCTTTGTCTTCACATGAAACCTGGATTCTAAACGAAATTTTAAAAAATTGATAAACAAATGAAAAAAGCATCAAAGATTTAAGGCAAATACTAGTACTTATGTGCCCTTCCTCTGGATAAATGACAGTTATGTGAAGCTTTCAATAATATTGGTCTGGTAGACACTGTAAAAGGGACATAACTCAATTTACACTAAAATGGTTCTGATCAAACACATTACATATTTATTACTGTCACTCACTCATTCAGAAATGCTTCTCTATTATGGTGTAAATGAAATCCTTTACAACAAACTTACAACATTTTATTCTGATATATCAGTGACAAATAATAATATTTTACTTACCTAGGTATTATATATCACATATTTATATTAAATCATATTATATTTATATTATATCATATTATATTTATATTATATAATAATATTATTTGTCCTTTTAGATTCACATTTGAGAAATAACTTACCGATGTCATTAGCTAAGGCTTGTAGCTTTGATTCAGTACGACTGATTAAAACAAGATCCATCCCTTTCTTAGCTATCTACAAAGATATAAATAATACACATTTGTTTACACAGCTCAAAAAAGACATCAAAAAAACTTATAACCTTAACATTATATTAAATGGAATTCTCAGGACATTTTGAAATCGCTAGCACCTTGATACTGTAAAACATTCATACAAGGATCCTAGAGGAATCTTGGCACCCACCATCAATGGATCTTAATTTTGTCCTTAAAAAATTATATCTTTTCCTTTTTCTACTCTAATTTTACTCTTAATTAAAGGAAATTAAAAAAAATCTTCTTCAGAAAAATTGATGATAATCTTTAACCACCCTTTTGTTTCTCTGATCATTGCAATCCCAAATTAAATATCACAACTAGGGGCTAAGGGGAACCTATATTTTTTTTTAGTCATTTTTTCCCTATGATCTGTTTCCAAATGTACAATGTAAAACAATGGAGTAAAGCAAACCACATATCAAACCAGAGAATGATATTTTCAGTGCTTCTCCAGCGATGAGAAGAATTGTTTAAGGATGGATACAAATGAGGGACAAAGGACAATTTAGTTAATTAGCTCACCTTCGGATGACAATGGGCTGACAAAAAAACACCTCTCAAAATTCCACATTTCAATAAAAGTTTGAGTAAGAAATATAATGAAAAATAAAGAAGATGTACCTGAGCAGATCACTTAAGTCATTAAATTAACTATTCCTTACTGGTCAAGCATCAACCATCAACCAGTTAGTAAACGAAAAAGATTTCTTTTTTGATGGACACACTGAGTGCTACAAGTCAACATGATACATCAGTACTAGGATTTTATAAATTTTTCCATAGGCAAGAAATCCAATATCAGTATGTTTAGTTACATTTTATATCCTTAAAACAGGATAATACACATAAATGTCATATACATGTATTTCGTATGTTATCAGTCTCGTGAGTCTGTCTTGACTTACCTGCTCTGTGTATGACTTCCCTATACCATCTGTGCAGCCAGTTACAACTAAAACAACAATATCATGTTAAACAAAAAATTTGTTGCATACAGATTGAATACAATAATTCAAATTCATTTTAAATTTTAAAGAAATCTAAGGGTTTCAACATAAAGTAACTTGCTTTGTTACATTTCAATCTACAGACAAGTGAGGTTCATTAAATGACTCCATTCAGTTACTGTCATGGATCATGATCAATTGATTAGTGTATCAGTTGAGTGGGAGTGTACAGAACACATTTATCTTCCATGACTCTTTCCTATTACACAAGAAACCTTTTAGTAGTGACTCAAAATGCATATATTCTTGAACAGATCTTTTCTTTCCTTTTCTTTGGCAGGGACAAATAAAATAAATCATATATCCCTGGTTTTGGTCATCTTTCGGGAGACATGGCACAAAGACATTGTGTTAGTTTTGGTAGCTTGATAGAAAGCATCAAAGTGGATCATAGTGACTAACGGAATCCCTTAGAGCAGTGTGATCGGCCCTATACTAATATACATAAATGACTCTTCAGATGTAGTTGAGAATGTTGTCAGATTATTTCTGATGACACAACTGTTCTCAGAAGCCAGCAACAACGACAATAAACAAAGGATGCAATCTGACATCAACAAGCACTTCTCTTTAACTAGATTGGTTGATCCACAAACTAGCAAGCCCACTAAAGGTCTCGAGTTTGAATCCTATTGGAGGCATTAAAATAAATAACTTCTATTACATTGGCACCCATGTAGGGACTCAGTAATGATACTTAGCATTTATTTCACAAACATCGCTGTATCCCCTAGAAACTTGAGGATGAGTTATTTCCTGGAGGTGGAGTATATATGTACATAACCATGGTAAATTACTCCAATGATATACCACTCAGCTAGAGAGAACTTCTCCTAAGCTTCATCAGCTGAGCATCTGACTAATTAATAAGAGGCTCCTGGTTCAAATCCTAGCACAGGCATTGAAATAAATATCGACCTATGTTACAATTACAGTTGTACATATGTCCCTATAATATACTCTCGGTCCCGATCGGCAGCCAAGCTTATCGCTATAATCTGTGCCGGCAGAGTGAAACGAAAGGCAAGTAACTCTGCGATATCAGACTTGATGAGGAAAAAGTCGAGCCCTGTTCCACGGGAAGTGTTGCCACTTGAGATTAAATAGTTCCCCTTACAAATAAACTGCAGCTCTGAGCGGAAATCCGTAACGGATTACCAGCCATGAGCTCTGAAACGCTTCCTTGTAAATTTTGCATTAGGGTAGAAATGTCTATAAAGTACTTTGTACTTCGTGTAATTTCTTCATATGCACAACTTGTTGTCTTACCGGCCCACGCCCCCATCTTCTTCAAGTCAACGCCAAGTCCAAGTGGTCTTGCAAAAACAAAACATTTCAGTCCAGATAAAATAGAACATGCTAACTTAAACGCAACGTATGACACTGCTACGGCTCCAGCTGCAGCATACCACTCCATATTCTTTCCAAGCACACTTTGTACCCAGGAGGACGCCATGTTTGTTTGTTTGCCAGGTGACCGCAATATTCGCGTCAGTGGTACGTTTAGATCAAACGGAGTGCGTTAGGCCAAATTACAGAGCGTGTGCTCGTAGCTGCACTGTACATGTATCATCGTTCAAGTCAAGTCTGCACCGGCCGCTCTCTCAGCTAGAGTCAATCCCATTAATATCAGGAACTCGTATCATCAGGACGGTTATGAAAGCCCGTGTATAACATCCGAGCTTTTACAGTGCATCATGATTTGTTCACCGTAAATAAATATCCATCAACAAGAAAAGTTCTTTTCTTCTTTACTAGTTTGTACGTATACCGACCCTTATTGGTCTTCATAGACATCAGTCTGAACTTTTATAAAGTGTTGGCTTTATGGTGGCTGATTTCTGCCAAAGTCTTTACACAGTCGACTGTGATTCTGATCAACCCCATTTGCAATTAATTGCATTAAGGTAGTGTAGGTAGTCCGGAGGGGAAATACCAAAATGGCGTCGAGAACACAAACCTGCCGACAGTCATCGGTTTGATAGGCCAAGTATTGACAAACTTGTCCAGCTTTTAAAAATTCTTGACTTATTATGCGATTTCATGCAATGGGAGGTATTGTGACTGGTAGTTATTATTCCGATGTTGATGTTAATTAATCGTAAATGAGAATCTGAATCTGTTAGAACTCAAGGAAGTTTTGATGCTCTCAAGTCGGATCTACACGTATCTCGCTGACAAATAAGTCTTAACAGAGTGAACATTTAAGTGTAGTTTGTATGTTATATATTTACAGCAAATATCGAATTTCAACGGAAACTCAAAACATTGATTGTCCAATCCGTCAAAACACGACTTAACATCACCACAAATAATATCAGTATAGTGTATTATTAGTGTTCAAAGTTAGTTTTTGTTAAAGATACGTAACGAAATGCTGATGAGACTCTGTTTCAAATGAACAATAATTCACTGAGTTTAAAAAACTCGTCTATGTATACATGAAAATAGATTGATGTCGATCGAAGCTTCCTTTTAAAGTTTGTGTGACGATCCGGTAAATATATGTGTCAAAATCGCCTGTTGAATACATGAAAATCTGTTAATTGCTCTTCTGTTGTTTAAGCACGACGTTATTTTGTAGGCCCCCTCCGGACCACGTACATCACTGTGGAGTCGGCGTTTTTCGCTCAGCCAAACTACAGTGTCGGCTACCAGTATTGTGTTCCGTATTTATCATGCACATGCACTACGGCAACGGGATTTTAATATTTCTAGTGTAAGTGGATCAGTTGTATCCTGGTGGAAAGTTCTGATAGTTGTCGCTCGCTAAAAATAAAGATTTCTCTATAGGAAGGTTACTATTTTTTCTTTGAACTTCATTATCTATGTGCTTTCAGATTTACTTGTGTTCTTAAAAGAAAGAAACGTTCCATTTCTGCAAGCGTAAATAAGGTAGAATGAAGCCTCGCTACTTCAAAATTAGGACCACCTTGGTACTAAGACCACTTCTTTTGAGCCACATGCACACACCCGCCTCTCAAAAAAAGAGGCCATCACACGCGAGAAATCAAAAGAAAATTTTGATTTGCACATTTTTTATTTCTCTACTATTAATGTAATTGTTATATAGTTTATATATATATATATATACATATGTAAAGATGTATTTTCATAACCAAACTGCTTTACCTGTATTTCTCAAACTGACCGATATAATGTAACATGTATTGTACATTATGTGTATTTCCTTGTTAATATTTGTTCCCCAAGGTTTTACTAATATAATGCGATATCGATATTGTCTGTCACATAACAGCCATGTGATCCAAATTTACAATTTATGTTAACACTACATGTAAATCAATGATATTATTATTAGTTGTTATAATCATATTATATTCTACTGATAGGCGCAGTATATATTACCAACGAGTACGTAATTTAGATGAAAGATTAAAAATTTATTCACGGAATAAAATGTACTGCATCGACCAATCAAATTTCAGTGATCAGTTCAAATCGATTTCTTTGTGATAGATCTGGCAGTTCGGGATCTGACAGCTGACAGTACAGACGGTTAGTATGTTTCCAATCGTCTGAGTCAGCAATTTGATTTTTAAGTAATATGTCTGCTTACGATTTAATATAAGTATTTGCACACTGTAATATGAAAAGTAGGGATTATTACTACAGTACGTGTTGTAGCATCTATCGTGATTTCTGTGTATGGATGGCTATCTCATTCCCGGATTGAATCTGATTACTTCTTAGTGTAAACACGCAATTCAACACCATGTGTTCCATAATATATAACAACTTTTTAATGACTAAACATTAAAGAGGTCAACATATTATTACAGATATGTAAGGACGAGTTATGTCCCTTTACCTTACTGGTATTATTAATAGACAGATACCACACGTGTTAATGTAACTTACTTACATTTGTGATCGCTGCTATTGATAAATATTTACCTGTATCTACATATATATGTAATTATATCGTAAGTTTCAATCAGTGTATCACTTCATTACTGCCGTTTGTCCGTCTCAGGTGTTCATCTCAGCGATTTTTATCGTATAACGAAGAAGGATTATGTGATTATGCCTCGTTTACCAAATAAGGACATCTTATATTGAAAAAGTGATGATTTTTAAGTTATCACTTTTGATGACTCATTTCTAATATGAATTAACAAGCGAATTGTAAAGCGACCGATGAAAAAGTAACTTCATTTAGTTAGTGTTTAAAAAAAAAGAAGTAGAAATATGGTTCCTTTAAGAAAAAAAAATCCCGTCCCCCAAAAAATTCAATCTAACCTTTTTTTTCTAAACGATGCACACATAAACACATATCTATATCCACCATTTCAGGCTTACCATTATTCATTTATTTCTATTTTATTTACTTTTTTTTTGTCATTAGAATGTCATTCCCGTTCAAATGATGATTTTGAGTAATGTGTTTGTACTTCTGGATAGCTGTAAGCTATCTTAAGCATATCTGTGATTTAGTGATGTCATCAGAAACGGAATTGCATTCACATGTCCGATACACATGTCGATCATTTCAGGTGAGCAAAATTGAAGTGGGATCTGCAGATTTTTTTTTTTCAGAAAAAATACTGTTGTTTCACTGGTCAGTTTTTAGATAAACCATATAATATGAAAACATTTGAATTCATTTATGTATTTTTCATGATAATTCGTTTACATAGCATAGCTAGCGACAAATGGTTCTTAGGGGTCTAAAGCTAATGCGCTATGTAGGATGTTACTGGGTAATTAAATGCAATGCCTCAGCGCATAGCATAATGTCTTACTTAGTCGATTCTGAATTAATTAGGCCTATATATTCAGATCCAAATTTTGTCTTGCTAAAGCATTAATGTAGTCACTCCCAGCTGATGTAATGTTTGGTTGGCTGTCCACTACCCTGAACATTGTGTCTTCTGATTCCCAGAACTTGTCCTACCGATTTTCAAATGTATTTAGGGTTGGCGATCTGACCACTTTTTCTGGCAATGAATTACAATTATTGACCACTCTCTGTGAAAATGAGATGTCCAGCATACATCTTGATTTCTCCAGTGATTGTGAGTTCCCTCGAGTACGTTTTTTCTGGTTCACTCTTAATAAGTTTTCTACTGCATTCTTGTCATAAAGTCCAATCAGTATTTTTTACACTTCAGCCATGTCTCCTCTGTCCCTTAGATATTTCAGTGGTGGCAAATCTAAGTCTCTCATTCTATCCTCATATACCATATTTTTCAAACCTGGCAGAAGCTTCGTCATCCTTCTCTGGCCCCTCTCCAATACCTTAATGTCCTGTATTTGGTAGGAATTCCAGATACTAGCCCCATTTTCCAGATGTGACCTGACCAATGCCTTGTACGATCTTTGATCAAGATATGTTCTTCTTACAATTCCTAGGACTCTGTTAAAAAATAAATATCTTATATTGCAAAATGTGTATTACAATAAATAATACTCGAAGTAATTTATCAATCAAAAATATTTTTTTCAATATACATTATGTACGTATTTGATATATATAGAAACTGGCGGTAATAGGTGACTAGTGCACAAATTTTTACAGGAATGGCTCAGTCCGGAAGTTGACTTTCGAAGGGAAATAACTCCTAGTACAAGAACTATTATACAACAGGATCAACAAAGATGTCATTGAATGCTGTTCGTCATCTTGTTCGATCTGCCGCCGCTCAGAATTATCAACTATGTCGGGTAAATTTTACCAGAAAATGTTTTTGAATTGATTTGATAATTACAATATTGCACATACAATGAGTTAACATGAAGCTAGGAATTTATTCGACATCTCCAGTTTTGACGGATCCCACTACCGTTTAAAGTGGTTTACATAACTAAATCCGATATTTTCGTGTGAATTTATGTAAACTGTTCGGAAGAACTCCGTGTTTTAAATTATCCTGCATTCGGGTAGCTGATTTAATTGTCACACAGGACCGTGACGCACTAATTGATAGATTGTAACGGTATTGACCTTTCGTTCATCCTTCTCGCAATTGCAGTTAGAATATAAAACATTTCTACATTTATGTACTGATGGTTCAAAAGATGATGATAAGGTTGCTGCGGCCATGGTTACACAAGATGAAATTTATGGATGCCGGCTACCGAACAACACCTCAATATTTTCGACGGAAGCGCGAGCTATCTACCTCGACCTTGAATATATTCAAATAAACAAAGTAATGAGAGCTGTTATCCATTCAGACTCTCTTTCTGTACTACAAAGTCTTAGCAATAGAAATATCGAGGATATTTTCATCCGTAATTCAGAATCGATATACCAATAATAAATTGCACTCCATAAAACATATTATCGGTGAAGGACAACCACTGAGACAAAGTTGTCTTCAGATGAGCCATACATACCTTACACATTCATATATGCTGAAAGGCGAAAATAATCCACGGTGCATAGGATGTCATTCACCATTTAACATTTTTCATTGGACTGCATTGACCATCTGTCTACTCAAGAATGTTTTTGTTATAACATTACAAGTCTAAAAACCCTTTTTGAAACTGTTGAGATTTGTAAAATTCAAAATTACCTTAAAAATGTTGGTCTAAATAATAGACTATGACATACCATTTTAATCTTTTGTGATAATATACCCATTTAAGTTTGTTTGATGCTATTTCCTTTTGAATCACTGTGTCTTTTACTGGTTGGTGGCTCTAATGACCTTTTCTGTGTTGATGGGCTGTTAAGAATGTCATAATAATAACAAAGTAACTGTATTGACTGATCAGTGTTAATAGATATGATATTGCAGCTAATGCAAAGGCACTTCTATCGATCCTCACAACCATATAGTTTTGAGAATTATACATTAAACATCTTGTGTTTTTGCACATTATATACAATTATGACCCCAGCTTTCTAGATCAAATTAAAGGGCAATACTGCAGGAATCATATAGAAGAAGTCTTCACATGTATAGAGTGTCCAAATATTTCTAATGAATTCTGCTGTTTTAGTAGTACAATTGTTTTATCTCAAATATAATATCAGATTCCTGTGCATTAAGTTAGAACTTGATCCAAAGGGTTCTTAATACTTTCCATGATTTTATTTTGTCTTTGTCACAGACTAATAGTCCCCAAATACCAGTGACCCTTGCAAGGTTCAGCATTCAAGCATTGTTTTAAATAGTTTACAACAGTGTGATAGTTATAAACATTTTTCTACTAACTTGCATGCCAGGAAATGTCAAAGCAATTAAATGTTGTAAACCAAGCATTTCCACTCATTTTCCTTGACATCTTTACTTTCCAGTAATACTACAACGTCAGCCTCTATGTTGAATATCTCTTGACTTGTGGTTATAAATCTACCATTTCCACCACCCTCACAAGAATTTACTGTTTGGTAGGTTTACAACCACAAGTCTTGAACCCTTCAGAATATTTAGAACTTCCACTCTAATCTTAATTTCCTCTCACATGATGACTACTGCCCATTGATGTCATAGTACAGAATGTTTGTTCCTGATAACCTTTATTCAAATAAAAAGCATGGCAGTCACATCATGTAATCTTAACAAAGATTTTTAGTAATTGGTTATCGCAATATCTATTTGAAAGAAAATTATGAGTCTTCTATAAAAAATCAAAAAGAGAAAAAAATTTTGCCAGTTAATACCAAGGATAGCCCATAAAGCCATTGTAGCTTTTTTCCAATGACACTGTGTGTAGGCAGAAGAAAAGAAGAAAAGATAATTGAAGAGATCAAAATCTGATTGTTAACAATTGTTTTGGCATCATAAATAATTACTGGTGCTCTAAAAATCAGATTTTGTAAGGAGGTGTGACAAAATAAACAAAACTGGATATAAATAGTAAATGTATAATTTATTGATTAATCCTTGTCCAGAACTCCATTTGTTACATAAACTTTCAATGTTAATGTACAGTGGTATGTCATTCCTTAAAAAATCTGCAAGAAAAGATCATATTTAATCGAAATTTATGTCTCCTCAGGCAGCAGCAGCTCCACTAGTCCAGAGAGTGAAGTTTTCATCCGAGTACTACACACCACCAGAGGAGTATCCTCCCCCACCCCCATACAAGGAAAGGATGAATGAGGACACAGAGGTCATGAGATCTCGCCTTCTGTACCAAAGTAGGAAACGAGGGATGCTGGAAAATGGACTCCTTCTAAGGTATGAAAATACTGGTACAGATACCAAAATAAAGTCAACAATAAAGAGTTGTGTTGTACAATAATGATTAACTGGGAAGGGAAACAACTCTGTCAAGCCTATTTTATCATGGAAACAAGTTGTTGTCACTGAATACAAGACTAGAATAATACAAATATACAACATGACATTCTGAGAACTCAAAATTACTTGAAAAACAGTAGACAACATGAAATCTCATCAATTGACAGTTTTCATGTTATATGTAAACAGTTGTATTTTGAAAAAGTAAACATGTATTTGTTGCTACATTTTGTAAAACAAATTGTGTATTTTCAGCACATTTGCAGCCAAGTATCTTGATGGTATGAATGAAAAGCAGCTGACATTATATGATCGCCTTATCAACACTCCTAGTAATGACTGGGAGATCTACTATTGGGCTGTTGGTATGTATCCATTCATTTTAGCAAAGATGCACAGGCATTATCACAACAAGGAGACACTTTATATCATTGTTCAGGTGAACATTTGCAATTACACAGAATTAGATAATCAATCTTTTATTAGGGTAAGATAGGATGTTTTTAGCCTTCATCAACTGATGGTTGGTTGTGCAAATTGCCCTGTGTCAATAGTCTATTGGTCTTTCATTATCTGTCCTTGTACTGTTGTTGCTATGGCTACTTCTTGAAAAGCACTGGATAGGTCTTTCTTAAATTCCAAATGTACATTTTCCTTGGTTCTAGTTGAGTAAATATCTGTATCTCTGATATCAAATGTCAGTTCAGAATCTTGGCAAAGCCTGGGTTATGACCATGTTCTGTACCTTTGTGTTTGATATCCACTTCAGTCCTTCTTTACATGTGGGTGACACTATTATTCTCATACTCTTGCATGTAAAACACAGAAATTAACCATGCAGGGATATCTCATCTTACTCTTGAGAAAGCTTGGCTCAGATCAGAAGGAGATGGCTTATATGCGTAAAGGTCATGTCATCATTTGATTTGGTGTATTTAAGTCAGAACTGGACAATGTCATCAATTTCAACATACATTTCAAGGGCCATAAATAATAATGTGATGTATGTGAATCACGGCAACAACATTCAATATGTTACAGTTTGTTATATCTGATACCTGTTCTGTGATAGTGGCAGTGATACAACAATTCATCTCCTACTTAAAATCATTGCAATTTGAAGAATTCAGTTTTCCTTGTGGTCCTGGGCTTTGTTAATGACATGCTTGATAGTAGGTGACAGGTGTGTCCTGAACTGTCAGAAATTGTGATGAGATGCAATACAGCTTTCAAAGGGGCTTAGTATCAGCAAAAAACAGGAAACTGTTTTTGTCTAGTTTTAAAATTGACCATTTTTGCCAATGTCTGTAGTTTGAAAATCTTCTTTAAGTTTGAAATGCATCTAAAACTTTAAGTATATTTCGAATTTGAGTACTTGAGACTGAAATGAATTCCTGATTTTTGAAAATAGAGCAAAGGCCACATTCACACATTCTTTATAAAACTGCTGCTCAGGGTGTTGTGTGAATTAATCGTAAAACAGACATTAGATAATTGGTGTAGAATATATGATTATTTTAATGCTTTCTGATACATGTTTTATGTCAGATCTCTCTTTGGTTTGAACCTGATCTTCTTGTCTGTCAGTGATATAATGTATAGGATATTGTTTGATTGGTAACTTTACTGTATTCCAGGCCAGAGACCTGTCCCGGAGAAATTCCAGAGTGAAATCATGGATATGTTGATGGAACATGCCAGCAACAAAGATCGTCAAAACCGAAGTCGACAACCAGATCTTCCAAATACCCCTTAGATGTGTTCTTTTAATTTATTTGTTTTTTGTGGAGATGACTGTGTAAATAATTTTTCTATATTAAAAATGTTAAACAAATACTATAAGGCTATCATTTTGTCTCTATCCAGCTTGGTTTTAAGCACACATTTATGTATTGACATTCTGTATAACTTTCAACAACATACTACTTTATTGTCTTGTAATAAGTGTACCGCCTCACTTTTTAAGTCAGAAGTAATGCACTGGTTCAAGGGCTTATCTCAGTATAAATAAGGTTCTCATCAAGGACTTCCATTGTGTGACGAATGTGCTGCAACACCTGACATGGATGTTAAATGTATGAGACTACTTGTGTGTGATCTCCCTCATCACAAGTCCCAATAATTATCTATATAAAGCTGGTCCCAATAAGATTACTGCATTTGTAGTAACATTCAGAATGTTTTTCTCTCCTCTGTTATTTGCTATAGCTGTCCTTGGTCTTTATGCTAACTGTCCTGTTATTGAAGGATTTTGGTTGTCTCCCCTTATGAAACATTCCAATAGTAATCGGGTGGAGTGGAATGTCACTGTATGTTATAAAAAGATTATGGAGAACTTTGAGTATCAAACCAAGTCAACCCTATGGTAACATTCATTGTAATTCCTAAATATTCTCTCTCTCAACTTATAGAACCCAGTAAATTAGATAATGTTTATTAATGATAACAGTTTGTTTTCAAATCAGATCATACTAACGGAGATAATGCTTTAGTATAACGTCAGCATTGAATACCAGTGTATTCTTAATGGAATCATGGAAACAAATTCACAAAGTTACTCTTTATGTAAAAGCAAAATGGTATACGAGAAATCTTATCGAAAATCGAAAAGGTTTCGATATGATATATTAAAGGGGATACTAACAGCACTGGTGCAGAAATTTGGTAAATCTTCCAAGATTCTGTACACCAGTGTGTGGAAAATCATATCCCCCACAAAACAGTACAAATGGGGATATAACCTTACATGGATATCACTCATTAAGTTAGACGTCTACTGCACAAACATGAATGAATGTACAAAAACATTTCTTTTATTCCACTTTGTTAATTACTAAAACGACCAGGTTTGAATTGGTGACGTCACCTATTCAGTTGGTATCACTAATTGAGAAAGGGAGATCACCGATTTACTAAAACTGATATCACTAATTAAGAAAGGGATATCACCTACTTATTATGCTAATATCACTGATTAAGAAAGGGATATCACCTACTTATTATGCTAATATCACTGATTAAGAAAGGGATATCACCTACTTATTATGCTAATATCACTGATTAAGAAAGGGATATCACCTACTTATTATGCTAATATCACTGATTAAGAAAGGGATATCACCTACTTATTATGCTAATATCACTGATTAAGAAAGGGATATCACCTACTTATTATGCTAATATCACTGATTAAGAAAGGGATATCACCTACTTATTATGCTAATATCACTGATTAAGAAAGGGATATCACCTACTTATTATGCTAATATCACTGATTAAGAAAGGGATATCACCTACTTATTATGCTAATATCACTGATTAAGAAAGGGATGTCACCTACTTATTATGCTAATATCACTGATTAAGAAAGGGATATCACCTACTTATTATGCTAATATCACTGATTAAGAAAGGGATATCACCTACTTATTATGCTAATATCACTGATTAAGAAAGGGAAAGGCATCTGAATGTCAGCAGGATTTAGGGCACGTGTTAACTTTGCACTTATCCAGTAGATAAGCCCAGCAAACTCCAAAGTGAATTCACGAATTGTGAATTGTTCGGTTCCTAATCCCTAGCTTATATAGGTGCCAGAGGAGCGATGAGAAAGTGGACATATCGTCGTAGTTTTAAAAATCTTGTTCTCAATACCCATATACATTGTACTGTAAAACAAAATGAAAGCTCTTAAAGGATCTTATGGTGGCATGTAACTGCCATCTATTTGACGTGTTCACGTGTTAATTTACCTCGACAAATTGTCATATCAACACGACTTGTCATGATAATATCGTGTTACGTCGTCTGGTCGTGATAATTACCAAGATTAAATCATCTCTAAGTCGCCATCATTTGGTCTTAAGTAAGGTTTTTTTCTCATTTGTGAACATCACACTCCAAGGTTTCAAACTTCACCTGATGCTCAGGGTAAGATTGACTCTGGTTTATATAGGAAAACTACATTTTTGATAATCTAATTTATTATTTAAATTTAAATTATTTGTATTGGATTTCAGGTTGATATCAGGCACATATTAACCCTGTCTCACTCATAGGGTGTGGACAGGGTCATATTGACTGACAGAAAGTCTTTTAATGCACTTGGTGGATAGAAGGACCCTACAGATGCTTTACTAAAATTGTGTTTTATGACCATGGGGTGTCTCACATTGTTCCTTTGGGAGGGGCTAAAGAATCTATAATTTATTTCGTTATCGGAAAATAACATTTTTGAGCATAATTTGTAAAATTTCCATTGGACATGATCCAAAGTTGGTGAGAACAGTTAACATAGGTTGATGCATTATATTTGTTTTACTTTCACAATGTACATGTACATATAGTTCAAATTAACGTACTGACATTTTCTGCTTAAAACTCGGTCAACTGTTACAGGTAATAATATTACACGCCGCGAATAATTTAACCCGTCTAGAAAGATCATCTGGAAAAAGTGGCATCTAAAACTGCAAATTACAAGATAATATGCAAAAAATGTTGATGTCATAACATTATTTCACACTAATTCGTCAACCCCCCAAAATCATGACGTCGCGAGTGGTTACTTCACTATACTTCTGTTGTTCGTGGAAACATCTCTGCACGTTAATGAACTCAGTCCCAGCTGATTCGATTTTACTATCACAGTCTTCGAAATCTGAGATGTTCGCTAAATAGGAGTAAGCCACCGACAGCCTTTAGATCGATAAGGACCGCGATTGATTTCAACAATTCCACTAAAACGATGCAGTTGGACGTCATTCTAGATATGAAAATGGCATCGTTTAGGAAAAAACAGTCCATTTTTTAGGATCGAAAATACATCCCTCGAAATGGGGAAATGACACTTAAAGAAATACACGCTGTGTGCTTGATGCTAGATTGGGGTACCCTGCAAATAAACCATGGCTGTCCGCACATGACCGCATTGCCCGTCAAATTAGAGCAGTCAAACTTTTAACGCATACTTCAACCTTGATAATAAATTAAAGATTATCAGTGTCATATGATTTTGACAGCAAACCAAGGACATGTGTCATCCTCAGATTACAGAGACTGGTCACTTGGTCGAAAGAAAAGCTATGGTCCTACTTCGGATCAGACAAATACCTATCTCTTGATTAGATATAAAGGCAGGGTCCTACTGTATACTTTGTTAGACAGGGACCTATTCCCGGGTTATACAGATACAATACAATACAAATTTGTTTATTAAAGTGTCATATATCACAATTACATCATATGTAAAGTACACAATATAAAACCATAGTGAGACCGTTGGGATCAATCATATTAAACTAAACCAGGTAAATCCAATATCATGAATTAAAACTTACTTATCACAGATCGTAATCCAGAGAACAGGTGATTGGGACAGCCCCTACCTAACAAGCTCTCTGGATTATATACGAAATATATAAATTATAATATATATTGTAATACTAAAATAGGTCTCATCCATACTGTAGCTGCGTGTTATATATGAAATAATAAAACAATACACATGGCAAAAATTATTTATGATACATTCATCAGTAGTGAAATTTGGCATTCCAAGGGTTGGGGAGAACCCTACCATCGAGGTTTGCCAAACTTACGCTACCTACAATAATTAATTATAATTAATAATAGATAATCAATCGATATAAAAAAGTTTCTGATTTACCCAACGAATCAATTAAAGCATATATTCTAAAAATGTAATCATACGTGATATTCAGCCAGAAATGGCTTACAAGACACTGTTAAAACATTGATTACTCACTTAAAGTGCTACGTCTCCGGAACATATTGTATAAATTATTAGCAAGTGGAATTTGTAATTCCCTGCAAGACATTATAAAATCAAATTTTTCTAAATCGTTAAGGCTTAAAAAATCATTTCTTATTTCGATTCCTGCTCTAAATAAGGATGATCTAATATCATTATATACATTACATTCAATTAAAAAGTGTATCTCATCCTCTATCGAATTATTTACATTTGTACATATTTTGCAAACACGGTTCTCCAATGGAATCTCAGGTTTGGTAAATCTGCCGGTTTCGACTGCAAGAGGTAGAGAACCACATCTTAAATTAAAAATTACCCTCCGTTTACTTTTTTGTGTCACGAGTTTGACATAAGAATCTGGCGCTAACTCAGATTTAAAGGTTCTGTATGTTCTCAACTTGTTACCGTTTACACTATTACTATCATTCCACAAGCTGTTGTACCATTCCTCTGTATCTATAGTAATTAACTTTTCTTTAATATTTCTTATCTTGTTTCTAATAGAAAATGTCGAGTTTACAATTTCACTTAATTTTTTCTCTTCTATGACTGTAATAACTCTAGAATCCCAGGATTTTTTCAACCTTACAGACCATAGGTGTACTTTTTTCATAAGACGGCTGTCGTTACAACACTTTATTCTTAAAAACAGGCGTACCGTTTCTAAAACCTGATTAACATTACAAGAATGCCATCCCATATCACCTCGGAGGGCTAAGTTACTTGATCGACGGGAGGCGCCTAAAAAGTATCTACACGCTTTGTGGAGTACAGTGGACACCTCACGGTATTTATTTATACCCCATATTCCACAGCCATAAAAAAGAACCGGTTGAACTAAAGTTTGATATAACTTGTTAAACACATCATATGTCATTTCACCGGCATGAGAATATTTTACATACAACGATGTTAGTGCTCTGCTCGCAGATTTACAGAGTTCTTTTACAGTGAAATGCAAATCCATGTGCTCCTCAAACCATAGCCCCAAGTACTTGTACTTAGTATTTAAGGCGATAACTATATCACCACATGAAAACGTGTGATCAGTAACAGGCATGG